TGTTTAACTTGGGTCAAACGTTTCAGGTAGTCTTCCACAAGCTTCCCACAATAAGTTGGGTGAATTTTGGCCCATTCCTCCTGACAGAGCTGGTGTAACTGAATCAGGTTTGTAGTCCTCCTTGCTCGCACACGCCTTTTCAGTTCAGTTCTGCCCACAAATGTTCTATAGGATTGAGGTCAGGGCCATGTGATGGCCACTCCAATACCTTGATTTTGTTGTCCTTAAGCCATTTTGCCACAACTTTGGAAGTATGCTTGGGGTCATTGTCCATTTGGAAGACCCATTTGCGACCAAGCTTTAACTTCCTGACTGATGTCTTGAGATGTTGCTTCAATATATCCACATAATTTTCCTTCCTCATGATGCCATCTATTTTGTGAAGTGCACCAGTCCCTCCTGCAGCAAAGCACCCCCACAGCATGATACTGCCACCCCCGTGCTTCATGGTTGGGATGGTGTTCTTCGGCTTGCAAGCATCCCCCTTTTTCCTCCAAACATAACGACGGTCATTATGGCCAAAAAGTTTTATTTTTGTGTCATCAGACCAGAGGACATTTCTCCTAAAAGTACAATCTTTGTCCCCATGTGCAGTTGCAAACCGTAGTCTGGCTTTTTTATGGCGGTTTTGGAGCAGTGGCTTCTTCCTTGCTGAGCGGCCTTTCAAGTTATGTCGATATAGGACTCGTTTTACTGTGGATATAGATACTTTTGTACCTGTTTCCTCCAGCATCTTCACAAGGTCCTTTGCTGTTGTTCTGGGATTTATTTGCACTTTTCGCACCAAAGTATGTTAATCTCTAGGAGACAGAACGCGTCTCCTTTCTGAGCGGTATGACGGCTGCGTGGTCCCATGGTGTTTATACTTGCGTACAATTGTTTGTACAGATGAACGTGGTACCTTCAGACGTTTGGAAATTGCTCCCAAGGATGAACCAGACTTGTGGAGGTCTATAAAAAAATGTCTGAGGTCTTGGCTGATTTCTTTAGATTTTCCCATGATGTCAAGCAAAGAGGCACTGAGTTTGAAGGTAGGCCTTGAAATACATCCACAGGTACACCTCCAACTGACTCAAATGATGTCAATTAGCCTATCAGAAGGTTCTAAAGCCATGACATCATTTTCTGGAAATGTCCAAGCTATTTAAAGGCACAGTCAACTTAGTGTATGTAAACGTCTGACCCACTGGAATTGTGATACAGTGAACTATAAGTGAAATAATCTGTCTGTAAACAATTGTTAAAAAAATTACTTGTGTCATGCACAAAGTAAATGTCCTAACCGACTTGCCAAAACTTTAGTTTGTTAACAAGAAATTTGTGGAGTGGTTGAAAAACGAGTTTTAATGACTCCAACCTAAGTGTACGTAAACTTCCGACTTCAACTGTATAGTGTACCTTCAGACGACTCCCCTGTGTGTCGTAGAGGAAAATAACAGACATACCTGTGTGTTTCAATATTCGTTTACATCTCCAACGGTTCGGACAGTCGGTTTTGTGAGAAGACCTCTTCGAAATGAGGACATCCGCGACAGAGAGTTCAGACGACTGCCGTAAAGCTTGTGGATGTCGTAGAGCCAAACAACCGACACTGTCGTGTCCGTGAGAGTCTCATCTTCCGATGGTGGTGCCTTATTAGTTTGTAGCTCAAACGGTTTTACAGACGATTTAGTGACAGTTTTCTTGTCCGGATCCTCTCGTGTGTATAAAAAAGACCGCTTTCACAAGCCCCATGTTATGGAATAGATGCAAACTTTATATCGGCGGAAGGAGGGGATTGAGCTGCAGCCAGCTATTCAATATTCAAAATGACATCACCGTGTGACGCACGGGTGTGGGGTGAACCGCTAGAGTCAATAATTCTAGAATTACTAGATAACAGGTAACAGAGAGAACCCATGTGTTTTATACCTTTCCCATTCCAACCATTCCAATGACCCCATCCTCTGATTTCTCCCTCCACTGGTGTGTGTGTGTGTTTGTGTGTTTGTGTGTTTGGGTGTGTGTGGGTGTTTGGGTGTTTGTGTGTGTGTGTGTATGTGTGTGTGTGTGTGTGTGTATGTGTGGGTGTTTGGGTGTTTGGGTGTGTGTGGGTGTTTGGGTGTTTGTGTGTTTGGGTGTGTGTGGGTGTTTGGGTGTTTGTGTGTTTGGGTGTGTTTGTGTGTGTGTGTGTATGTGTGGGTGTTTGGGTGTTTGTGTACGCATGTCAGCGTCCGCCTGTGTGTGTATATGTACAGTACCAGTCAAAAGTTTGGACACACCTACTCATTCCAGGGTTTTTCTTTATTTTTTACTATTTTCTACATTGTAGAATAATAGTGAAGACATCAAAACTATGAAATAACACATATGGAACCAAAGAAGTGTTAAACAAATCAAAAATATATTTTATATTTGCGATTCTTCAAAGTAGCCACCCTTTGCCTTGATGACAGCTTTGCACACTCTTGGCATTCTCTCAACCAGCTTCACCTGGAATGCTTTTCCAACAGTCTTGAAGGAGCTCTTGTTGGCTGCTTTACCTTCACTCTGCGGTCCGACTGATCCCAAACCATCTCGTTTGGGTTGAGGTGGGGTGATTGTGGAGGCCAGGTCATCTGATGCGGCTCTCCATCACTCTCCTCCTTGGGTTGAGGTGGGGTGATTGTGGAGGCCAGGTCATCTGATGCAGCACTCCATCACTCTCCTCCTTGGGTTGAGGTGGGGTGATCGTGGAGGCCAGGTCATCTGATGCAGCTCTCCATCACTCTCCTCCTTGGGTTGAGGTGGGGTGATTGTGGAGGCCAGGTCATCTGATGCAGCTCTCCATCACTCTCCTCCTTGGGTTGAGGTGGGGTGATTGTGGAGGCCAGGTCATCTGATGCGGCTCTCCATCACCCTCCTCCTTGGTCAAACTTTTGACTGGTACTGCACGTGTGTAGTATTGAGCAACATTTCAACAGCATGACAGAAAGGAGAGGGAGAATAACCCCCCTGCTGTGACAGAGACAGGTATTCCTGACAGAAATAACCCCCCTGCTGTGACAGAGACAGGTGTTCCTGACAGAAATAACCCCCCTGCTGTGACAGAGGCCGGTGTTCCTGACAGAAATAACCCCCCCGCTGTGACAGAGGCCGGTGTTCCTGACAGAAATAACCCCCCTGCTGTGACAGAGACCGGTAATCCTGACAGAAATAACCCCCCTGCTGTGACAGAGACCGGTGTTCCTGACAGAAATAACCCCCCTGCTGTGACAGAGGCCGGTGTTCCTGACAGAAATAACCCCCCCGCTGTGACAGAGGCCAGTGTTCCTGACAGAAATAACCCCCCTGCTGTGACAGAGGCCGGTGTTCCTGACAGAAATAACCCCCCTGCTGTGACAGAGACCGGTAATCCTGACAGAAATAACCCCCCCGCTGTGACAGAGACCGGTGTTCCTGACAGAAATAACCCCCCCGCTGTGACAGAGGCCGGTGTTCCTGACAGAAATAACCCCCCCCCCCGCTGTGACAGAGACCGGTAATCCTGACAGAAATAACCCCCCTGCTGTGACAGAGGCCGGTGTTCCTGACAGAAATAACCCCCCTGCTGTGACAGAGGCCGGTGTTCCTGACAGAAATAACCCCCTTGCTGTGACAGAGGCCGGTGTTCCTTTCATAAAAGAAAATTATGAAAAGGAGAACTGAAGGAAACAAACAAGCACCCTGAACTCTGGCTTGTGGAACCAACAGAACCAAAGGAATAATCCCAAAAGTGCAAGTGACGACAGTAGGGTTGCAAAATTCTAACAACTTTCCCAAAATTCCCAGGGATTCCCAGAAATCCCAGTTGGAGGATTCCCAGAATCAGAAGGGAATAACGCAGGGAAGGATTTCTGGAAATCTCTGGGAAATTTCGGAACATTTTGCAACCACTGACAACAGTGAAAAAAGGAATGTGTGTTTACCCAAAGCCCTGTGTGTGTGTGTGTGTGTGTGTGTGTGTGTGTGTGTATGTGTGTGTGTGTGTGTGTGTGTGTGTGTGTGTGTGTGTGTGTGTGTGTGTGTGTGTGTGTGTGTGTGTGTGTATGTGTGTGTGTGTGTGTGTGTGTGTGTGTGTGTGTGTGTGTGTGTGTGTGTGTCCGTGCGTCTTCTTACCCGAAGCCCTCCAGTGAGGTGTCAAACTCCACGAAGGCTGGAGTGACGGCGGAGCCGTGAAGGCGGATGTCGTGGGGCGTTGTCATGGAGACCAGGCACTTGACGCGTGTGAGTGGCACGGTGCTCCCCTCGGCCGAGCGCACCAGGCTACGGCTGATTCGGTACTGACTGTTGTCTTCACCGGCCGCTGCGAACACGGCGTCAGGACCGAAACAGCCCTCCATCGACATGGTCATGGAGTCTGTGGGACAAGAGATTCAATGTTACCACACACTTCATAATTGAGAGAGGAAGGATGTAATGTTTAGCTATTGAAACAGAGCCTGAGAGTAGAGGAAGGATGTAATGTTTAGCTATTGAAACAGGGCCTGAGAGTAGAGGAAGGATGTAATGTTTAGCTATTGAAACAGGGCCTGAGAGTAGAGGAAGGATGTAATGTTTAGCTATTGAAACAGGGCCTGAGAGTAGAGGAAGGATGTATTCGCTTAATGAAAACTACAACTCCCTTCAGCCCAAGCGTCCCACGTAGTTCTTGACTTGATTTCTCCCGTGAATGATTTGATTTATCTCTAGAGAAACGGCGGCTAGGGCTAACAGAAAAACCGAACTAAATGGAATTCCAAGTAATTGAACCGATATCGGTTAATTAGTTGTTTAACAACAGAAAGAGAAAAATGAAATTTCGGTTAAATCACTCAGCACTAAAGGACAGATTCACCTCAGGTAATTATCTGAAGGTGATTAGTCTAGATCATAACAGCGATGGTTTAGGTTGCAGCTACATTACAATAACGTTACAATAGGCTCGTTCTGGTTCGCAATCATGAAGGATTACAGTCTCCAGAAAGTCATTTCCACAGGCAATTAAAGCTAGAGGAAGCTCATCTCCTGCAAAAAAAACAAAACAAAAAACAATCTATTCTCCACTACAGTAACTGACTGGATACAGCCGAATGGATCAACTGACAGCAGGGGGGGAAATAATTTACTGGGAGTAATTGTTGGCCTTTTCAAACTGCACGTCTTTCCCCTGTCCGTCTCGCCCCTGCAGAAAACTTTCTGGTAACAATTTCTATGAGGCACACACACATAATGCCTTATGCTACATTCATAATGCCTTATGCTACATTCATAATGCCTTATGCTACTTTCATAATGCCTTATGCTACTTTCATAATGCCTTATGCTACATTCATAATGCCTTATGCTACATTCATAATGCTACATTCATAATGCCTTATGCTACATTTATAATGCCTTATGCTACGTTCATAATGCTACATTCATAATGCCTTATGCTACATTCATAATGCTACATTCATAATGCCTTATGCTACATTCATAATGCCTTATGCTACATTCATAATGCTACATTCATAATGCCTTATGCTATATTCATAATGCCTTATGCTACATTTATAATGCTACATTCATAATGCCTTATGCTACATTCATAATGCTACATTCATAATGCCTTATGCTACATTTATAATGCTTTATGCTACATTTATAATGCTACATTTATAATGCCATATGTTACATTTATAATAATAGTAATATAATAATAATATGCCATTTAGCAGACGCTTTTATCCAAAGCGAATTACAGTCATGTGTGCATACATGTTTACGTATTGGTGGTCCCGGGAATCGAACCCACTACCCTGGCGTTACAAGCGCCGTGCTCTACCAATTGAGCTACAGAGGACCACCATATATATACACATAAGCATTATCTATATATATATATATATATATATATATATACATATACATACATACATACATACAGTGGGGGGAAAAAGTATTTAGTCAGCCACCAATTGTGCAAGTTCTCCCACTTAAAAAGATGAGAGAGGCCTGTAATTTTCATCATAAGTACACGTCAACTATGACAGACAAATTGAGGGAAAACAAATCCAGAAAATCACATTGTAGGATTTTTTATGAATTTATTTGCAAATTATGGTGGAAAATAAGTATCTCCCCTGTAAGACTATGTGACAGAGTATCAACAGACCTCTCCCCTGTAAGACTATGTGGCAGAGTATCAACAGACCTCTCCCCTGTAAGACTATGTGACAGAGTATCAACAGACCTCTCCCCTGTAAGACTATGTGACAGAGTATCAACAGACCTCTCCCCTGTAAGACTATGTGGCAGAGTATCAACAGACCTCTCCCCTGTAAGACTATGTGACAGAGTATCAACAGACCTCTCCCCTGTAAGACTATGTGACAGAGTATCAACAGACCTATCCCCTGTAAGACTATGTGACAGAGTTTCAACAGACCTCTCCCCTGTAAGACTATGTGACAGAGTTTCAACAGACCTCTCCCCTGTAAGACTATGTGACAGAGTATCAACAGACCTCTCCCCTGTAAGACTATGTGACAGAGTATCAACAGACCTATCCCCTGTAAGACTATGTGACAGAGTTTCAACAGACCTCTCCCCTGTAAGACTATGTGACAGAGTATCAACAGACCTCTCCCCTGTAAGACTATGTGACAGAGTATCAACAGACCTCTCCCCTGTAAGACTATGTGACAGAGTATCAACAGACCTCTCCCCTGTAAGACTATGTGGCAGAGTATCAACAGACCTCTCCCCTGTAAGACTATGTGGCAGAGTATCAACAGGGGTGAAAGGATAACTTAGTTCCCATTCTATTGTTATCCAAACCAGCATCCGTTTTGCCCCAATGATTCGCCAATTTAGCCATTTCAAATTATAAATTGTACAATTTAACATCTGGTAAAGCCAAGCCTCCTACATCCCTTGGTGAGCACATCTTCATATTAATCTTTTTTTTTCTTCTTCCTATCCCACAAAAAAACATTTAGTTAATTTGTCATATTGTTTAAAATACCTGTCTGGAATGTTCATAGGTAACATTGCAGAAATATATAACATTGTGGGACCACAACCATTTTAATCACGTTGATCTTTCCCCATAAAGAAAGTTTGATATTTTCAAATTTTTCTAAAATGGGTCTTAATCTTCACTAGTAGTGGCTCACAATTTAGTCCCATCACTTCCTCCAAATTTGAGCTCAATTTAATATCCAAATATTTCATCCCAGTAGGAACCCATTTGAAATTAAATGGTTCCAGAGTAACATTGCTTCTGACTTATTCCAATTAATTTTGTAGCCTGACATACTAGAATATGATTCAATACGAGTAAGTCATGGTGGTACAGACTGAACAGTATCAGAGACCAGCGGTAGGATATCATCTCATACATAAGCAGCTTGTGTTCTTTTCCTCCTTCATGTTCACCCCTAATTTCTGGATCTGTTCTTATCCTTGTCGCAAGAGGATCTAAAACTACGCTAAACAGGAGAGGGGAGAGAGAGCAACCCTGCCTTGTGCCTCTAGAACGACAAAAAAAAAAGGAGACATAATTCAATTCGTAAATACTGTTGCTTTAGGATTGGAATAGAGGACCCCTATCCATTTACAAAAATCAGGTCCAAAACCACATTTTTCTTGGATTCTTAAGAGAAAAGCCCACTCTACCCTATCAAATGCCTTCTCAGCATCTAAGGAGACGGCAGCGGTAGGAACTATATTCGAGCAGTTTAACCACATGAGATGTAAGAGCCTCCTCATATTATCAGTTGAGGTCCTGTTCTTAATAAATCCAACTTGGTCACTATGTATAACATTAGGTTGTTCCTTCTCTAAGCGTATCGCAATGGTCTTAGTAAGACTCTTACGATCCACATTAAGGAGCCTGATTGCTATAAAATCCCCAGGCTCTGTAGTATCTCTATCCTTATTAGGAATCAGCGATATCAAAGCCTCTTTAAAGGTGTCCGGAAGGGAGCCATTTTAAAATGCCTCCTGGTAAACCACTGTCAACACAGCTACAAGAATGTCAATATATTTTTTATAATATTCTACAGGAAGGCCATCCAGACGAGGTGATTTCCCTGCTTTCATAGATAAAATGGCGGCTCTAACCTCCTCTTCTGTTATAGCACAGTCCAGGTCCTCTACATGGCTATCTGATAATCTAGGTAATTCTATACCAGACAACAAAGTATCCATATCTATGGGGCTCGCTGAACAGGAGGATGTATATAAATCTTCATAATGACGTTGAAACACACTGTATATCTCTTTGGATGAGGTCACCATCTTATTGCTCTTCTTAAATTGCTGGGAATGACGTTAGAAGTGTTCTGCATTTTTAGTTGTCTTGCTAGTAGCCTGCCTGTCTTCTCACCTCCCTCATAATAACTGGTTCGAAGTCTAAACAGTGAATATTCTGCCCTTTTGTTGTACATTTCATGCAACTGAAATTTCAATTTGCAGACAAGTTTGAAATGTGCCATCTGTGAAATGTCTTGCAAAATCCCTTTTCCAAGACACATATCTCGGTTTCTAATCTTCTAACTGCTTCAGCCCCTTCTCTCTTCTTTTTGGACTCATGTGCTATTATTTCCCCTCTAACATATGCTTTAGAGGTTTCCCACACTGTGGAAACCTTTTCAGTTGAGCCTATGTTGATCTCAAAAAAGGATCTAAGATCATCAGCTAGTGATTGGCTAAATATCTCATCTTGTAATAGCATGGTGTTGAGTCTAAATCTACCCTTCCTCACATTTTTCGGAGTTTATATCAACATGTAACAAGTGGATGAGAACCGTTCTCGGGGTCCTATTCTCATCAGGCATGGTTAAACTGCGATGGGTTCGTTCAATTTCGGATTTTTGTGCCCGTCGTCAAATCCAAAATCTTCTGCGATGATTTTCTGCACACACGAGATTAGTCCACCGCCAGCCTCACTCCCCTCTTTCAGATGAACCAATCTCACCGTATTTCTCCTACTTCTGTTCTCAAGTTCTTCCAGATGATTCCACAACATGTCCAGCTTTTTTCTCGTGATTCTCATTACCCCTTCTCCAGACGGGAGACGGCATCCTCCACTGTCGAAATCCGTCCAGCTGCCTGCTCCATCCTCTCTTGTATCGCATCAACTTTTTCATTTAGCTCGGCAGATGTTTTTATCGTGGAGACATCGGATGCAACATCCAAAACAATGGATACCAAAGCATTCTGCAGCGATACGCCTTCACTCCCCTTGGAAAAAAAATGATAGTCCCACTAAGCGCAAACCAGATGGGATGGCGTATCGCTGCAGAATGCTGTGGTAGCCATGCTGGTTAAGTGTGCCTTGAATTCAAAATAAATCACAGACAGTGTCACCAGCGAAAGCACATCCACACCATCACACCTCCTCCTCCATGCTTCATGGTGGGAACCACACACGTTCACCTACTCTGCGTCTCACAAAGACATGGCGGTTGGAACCAGAAATCTCAAATTTGGACTCATCAGACCAAAGGACAGATTTCCACTGGTCTAATGTCCATTGCTCGTGTTTCTTGGCCCAAGCAGGTCTCTTCTTCTTATTGGTATCCTTTAGCAGTGGTTTCTTTGCAGCAATTCGACCATGAAGGCCTGATTCACGCAGTCTCCTCTGAATAGTTGATGTTGAGATGTGTCTGTTACTTGAACTCTGTGAAGCATTTATTTGGGCTGCAATCTGAGGTGCAGTTAACTCTAATGAACTTATCCTCTGCAGCAGAGGTAACTCTGGGTCATCATAGCGCTTGATGGTTTTTGCGACTGCACTTTAAGAAACTTTAAGACTGTGCAAAGCTGTCATCAAGGCAAAGGGTGGCAACTTTGAAGAATCTCAAATATAAAAATATATTTTGATTTGTTTAACACTTTTTTTGGTTACTACATGATTCCATACGTGTTATTTCATAGTTTTGATGTCTTCACTACTATTGTACAATGTAGAAAATAGTAAAAAAAATATAAAGAAAGAAAAACCCTGGAATGAGTAGGTGTGTCCAAACTTTTGACTGGTTCTGTATAAAATTGAGTGGGAACTTACTTCTCATCTCTGCGTCGTAGCTAAGGGAGGAAGGTTTGTGGACGCGGTACTGTTTGAGGAGCTTCTTGTCCCAGGCTCCACAGTTCAGAGGGTTACCCAGCCGAAGGAACTCTCTGTGGGGGGGAGAAAGCATACGAATGTTTATTTTGGGGTGACAAAAAAAAAAAAAACATACATAGACAAGATGTGCATGTTAAATCCCAGTGGATGACACATGAAAGCATGATGAAAACACTTATTTCCAAAGTGGTCCTTGACCACTTGGCATTCACTGGCATCCTCCAACATGGGACGCCTTTCCCCTTGAAGAACAATAAACATATATGCAGGCTCGGCCTTAATTGACGTGCTCTCTGTCACCTGGAGCTGCAAATGGTCCAGGAACACAAGGAACGTTTGTCAGCCCCGCCTCCCCCTCTGAGGGGCCAACATGCATCTCTGTTACAGTCTCCAGAGGACTGAATATTGAATGAGTGATAGAATAATGATATATCATCCATGTCTGGTATCTATCTGAAACTTGTTCACTGAGGATAACTCTGATGCCATCTATAAGGATGTATGATCTCTGTGGTAACTTGTATCTGTACAGGGTGAACTCTGAATTACTCTATTACGCAAAGGAATTTTATTGTCTTCTAAGGAATTCTGTCTTATTGGTCTCATCCCCCACACAAGCCTTTAGATGCTGTGGCAACCTGTGGAGATTGGGCCTCGGTGGTCAGGTTACTCTGTAAACTTGGTATCATTTGATTGGTCAATGGTGGTTGGTTTTGGGTTGAGAAGGTTACACCATCAGATGTTATAAATGGAATTAAATGGCTTTGTTCTCTCTCTTATCCTGTATCCAGTCCATGGAGGAAGGTTGTATGTTATCTCTCTTATCCTGTATCCAGTCCATGGAGGAAGGTTGTATGATCTCTCTCTTATCCTGTATCCAGTCCATGGAGGAAGGTTGTATGTTATCTCTCTTATCCTGTATCCAGTCCATGGAGGAAGGTTGTATGTTATCTCTCTTATCCTGTATCCAGTCCATGGAGGAAGGTTGTATGATCTCTCTCTTATCCTGTATCCAGTCCATGGAGGAAGGTTGTATGTTATCTCTCTTATCCTGTATCCAGTCCATGGAGGAAGGTTGTATGATCTCTCTCTTATCCTGTATCCAGTCCATGGAGGAAGGTTGTATGATCTCTCTCTTATCCTGTATCCAGTCCATGGAGGAAGGTTGTATGATCTCTCTCTTATCCTGTATCCAGTCCATGGAGGAAGGTTGTATGTTCTCTCTCTTATCCTGTATCCAGTCCATGGAGGAAGGTTGTATGATCTCTCTCTTATCCTGTATCCAGTCCATGGAGGAAGGTTGTATGTTCTCTCTCTCTTATCCTGTATCCAGTCCATGGAGGAAGGTTGTATGTTCTCTCTCTCTTATCCTGTATCCAGTCCATGGAGGAAGGTTGTATGTTATCTCTCTCTTATCCTGTATCCAGTCCATGGAGGAAGGTTGTATGATCTCTCTCTTATCCTGTATCCAGTCCATGGAGGAAGGTTGTATGATCTCTCTCTTATCCTGTATCCAGTCCATGGAGGAAGGTTGTATGATCTCTCTCTTATCCTGTATCCAGTCCATGGAGGAAGGTTGTATGATCTCTCTCTTATCCTGTATCCAGTCCATGGTGGAAGGTTGTATGATCTCTCTCTTATCCTGTATCCAGTCCATGGAGGAAGGTTGTATGATCTCTCTCTTATCCTGTATCCAGTCCATGGAGGAAGGTTGTATGTTCTCTCTCTCTTATCCTGTATCCAGTCCATGGAGGAAGGTTGTATGTTCTCTCTCTCTTATCCTGTATCCAGTCCATGGAGGAAGGTTGTATGTTATCTCTCTCTTATCCTGTATCCAGTCCATGGAGGAAGGTTGTATGATCTCTCTCTTATCCTGTATCCAGTCCACAGAGGAAGGTTGTATGATCTCTCTCTTATCCTGTATCCAGTCCATGGAGGAAGGTTGTATGATCTCTCTCTCTTATCCTGTATCCAGTCCACGGAGGAAGGTTGTATGTTATCTCTCTTATCCGGTATCCAGTCCATGGAGGAAGGTTGTATGATCTCTCTCTCTCTTATCCTGTATCCAGTCCATGGAGGAAGGTTGTATGATCTCTCTCTTATCCTGTATCCAGTCCATGGAGGAAGGTTGTATGATCTCTCTCTTATCCTGTATCCAGTCCATGGAGGAAGGTTGTATGATCTCTCTCTTATCCTGTATCCAGTCCAGGAAGGTTGTATGATGTCTCTCTTGTCCTGTATCCAGTCCAGGAAGGTTGTATGATGTCTCTCTTGTCCTGTATCCAGTCCAGGAAGGTTGTATGTTCTCTCTCTTATCCTGTATCCAGTCCATGGAGGAAGGTTGTATGGTCAGTTCTCATTTCCTAGGCCTCTAAGCCTCTGGCCTAGTTGGCATCTCTTTGTTCATGCTTTGTCTTGTAAGTTACCTTTAGTATCTATATGCTTGGAATAATGCCTTGTATGTGAATCAATTCATTTTACAAAGTTATTCAATAATACTTGCTTTGATATTCACTTCTCATGACCATACCTTGATCTTAGTCAGCTAAACGCGTAATACTTTATTGCACATGGTTTAACTGTGGGTCTCTTGCATATTGATAATTGTCTTATGGAGTCAAACATTTTAATGGGCTAATTGATTAGTCTCATTACGGATCGCATTTGTGAGGTATTTATAATATACTGTATATAAAATATTACCCATTAAAAATCATCATTCTCTACGCTGAAAGAGAGAGTCTACAGAGGATCACTCTGTTAATTTTTATAAGAAAGGAAGTTAGATTACTTCTTCTCTAGCTGTGTGTGTGTGTGTGTGTGTGTGTGTGTGTGTGTGTGTGTGTGTGTGTGTGTGTGTGTCTATCCCAACTGTCTATATCCTATCCTGCATCACAGCTGACCGGCCATGCAGTAAATTAGGCCTAGTAAAGTGAATCTGCAGTTAGACACCACCCAGACACCTCTAAGTAATATTCAAACCTGTCAAAAGAACCATCAACATCATTTGAGTTTATTAGGGGGTTATGCCAGCCCTTGGTGACAGAGAGCTTTGTTTACTATGTGTGTGGAATTATATTTGTGATGAGGTAAATGTTTTAGAGGTAAATGGACTTATAATGATGTGGCCACATCTGGTCCTGGAGTGAGTGAGTGAGTGTGTCGGTCTGTCTGTCTGTCTGTCTGTCTGTCTGTCTGTCTGTCTGTCTGTCTGTCTGTCTGTCTGTCTGTCTGTCTGTCTGTCTGTCTGTCTGTCTGTCTGTCTGTCTGTCTGTCTGTCTGCCTGTCTGTCTGTCTGTCTGTCTGTCTGTCTGTCTGTCTGTCTGTCTGTCTGTCTGTCTGTCTGTCTGTCTGTCTGCCTGCCTGTCTGCCTGTCTGCCTGTCTGCCTGTCTGCCTGTCTGCCTGTCTGTCTCCCACCCTCACCTCAGGGCCATAGGCTGCAGGGCCTGCGAGGCCAACCTCTCAAACATCCTCTGCAGCGGTGGATGTAGGGGGTGTTCCTCGTCACCCAGGGCCTGGCTGCAGCGCTGCAGTAGTCTGCTATGTAGACCTGCTTCACACAGTATCTGCTGGTTTCTCTCACTGTGGACCAGCTGCTGCAGGATGTTAGCTACTGCTAGCTGGAGGTCCAGGGCATGCTGGGAGGGAGGGAGGGAGGGAGTAAAATTAATTGTTAAGTTCGGTTTCTTTGACATTTGTGACAGATCTGCTAAACCTGGAGCATCTTGCTGAAGTGTAATTCATCATATAAAGCCTAGACTAGTTTTATGATACAGCTAACAAGGAAGACACTCAGACATTCAGAGATATACAGTTCTTGGGAGGAAATGGAACTCTTGTACAAGAGAGGCTGAATAAGGTTTGTTCCTCATTCACCTCATTTGGACTAACAGGAAGTGGCAGTAAACTTCAGTATCACTGAGAGAAAGCCATTTTTTCAGGAGCGAACACAGGAAGACATTCATCCTGAGGCCAGGACACAGGAAGTGGGTGTGGCCGCCTGGCGCACTTCCTTACCTCTGGTTGGCTGTCGGAGCTGACGGAGGCCAGCAGATCCAGCATGGCTAACCCCGCCCCCGGGTGGATGACCACCGAGTCCGAGGAGGAGGAGGAGGAGGAGGAAGAGTTGGCCAGGTGTAGTTTCAGGTTCAGGTCCGTTAGTGCTCTGACGCCTGCCGGGGGGCCTGATGTGCCCTGGTAGCCCTGCCTGTGGTGTCAGTGACAGTTAGTTAGTAGTTACATACACTGAGGATACAAAACAAAACCAGCACCTGCTCTTTCCATGACAGACTGACCAGGTGAATCCAGCTGAAAGCCATCATCCCTTATTGATGTCACTTGTTAAATCCACTTCAATCAGTGTAGATGAAGGGGAGGAGACAGGTTAAAGAAGGATTTTTAAGCCTTGAGACATTAGAGACATGGATTGTGTATGTGTGCCATTCAGAGGGTGAATGGGCAAGACAAAAGATTTAAGTGCCTTTGAACGGGGTATGGTGGCGCATCGGTTTGTGTCAAGAACTGCAACGCTGCTGGGTTTTTCACGCTCAACAGTTTCCTGCGTGTATCAAGAATGGTCCACCACCCAAAGCACATCCAGCCAAATTGACACAACCATGGGAAACATTAGCGTCAACATGAGCCAGCATCCCCGTGGAACGCCATCGACACCTTGTAGAGTCCATGCCCCGACGAATTGAGGCTGTTCTGAGGGCAAAAGGGGGGGTGCAACTCCATATTAGGAAGGTGTTCCTAATGTTTTGTATACTCAGTGTATATCAACTCTGTATCCAGAATAGATATCCTAATCTTTCCTTTCAAAGGGATTATGGATGAAAATCAGCTATTTTGCTAACTCTGGGATTTTTACTTTGAAAACTGAAATGTTGATTAATGAACTGTCTTTGTAAAAAAGATATTCATTGAAATAAATATAAAAGCATGAAGAGATTAAACACATGAGAGGTTAAAGGGTAAGTCAGTTTAGAGTTGATCTGTAGAGGACTCTAACGGGACAATGACTCACACCCAGGCCTGTATTCATGTAATTAGAGAAAATAGCCACGTTGATGCAGTCATTGAAATTATACAGGCGGCGGGCGGGTTGGTTTCCCCCTACACAGCAGTGAGGAGAGGAGAGGGCTTAAAAGGAAGGTGTCAGCAGAAACAGAGAGAGAGAGGGAGAGAGGGAGAGAGAGAGAGAGAGAGAGAGAGAGAGAGGCAAGAGAGAGAAGAGAAGAGCGAGTAGAATAGAGAGAGGCAGAGAAGTATTCATATCAAGATAATATATAGGATTAATATATAGACTATATATAGATATAATCTATATCTCATAAATATCATCTATACTCTCTCTTCTCTATATTCCTATATTTACTTCTTTATAGATTTGTCTTCTTTTCTCTCTCTCTTCTCTCTCTCTCTCTCATCTCTCTATCTGTCTCTCTCTCCTTCTCTCTCTCTCTCTCTCTCTCTATGATCCCTTGTCTCTCTATTTCTGAATTATCAATTCTACATCTCAACATGCTCAAAAAGTCAGAAGCTCATCGGAAACGAAGATGGTGTGGAATTCCACATAATTTGGTGCTTTGGAGACTAGAGAGCAACATGACCTACAGCACATCAGCTGACATGGTAACAGAAGAGTAGAGAGCAACATGACATGAAACAATAGCTGACATAGGGGAAAGAGAAGCAACATGACAAGCACAATATCTGAAAAATAGGAGAAAAGAGAGAGAGAACCCAAATGACCTAGAAAGCAATAGCTGACATAGGAGAAAGAAGAGTAGAGAGCAACTTTACATAGCAAAAAATACTGACAATTGGAAAGAGAAGTATAGAGCAACTGACATACACAATACTTACAAGGGGAAGAACCCAGAGAAACCTCCCATAGCAGAAATAGCTGACATAGGGAAAGAGAGGCAACATACATAGCAGCAAATACTGACATAGGGAAAAGAGAGCACATGACATAGCAGCAATAGCTGACATAGGGGAAAGAAGAGAGAGAGCAAAAATGACATACAGCAATAGCTGACATAGAGAAAGGAGAGCAACATGACATTCAGCACAATACTGACATAGAGAAAGAGAGAGTAAGAGCAACATGACATAGCACAATAGCTGACATAGGGAAAGAATAAGCAACTGAAAAGAGCCACCCAATAGCTACTAGGGGAAGAGGGAGTAGAAGCAACATGAACAAAAGCACAATAGCTGACATGGAAAGAGAGCAACATGACATAAGCACAATACTTAAATATAGGGGAAAGGGAGTAAGGCAACTGACATAGCACATCAAAATATCTGAACACTAGGAGAAAGAAGGTAGAGAGCAACATGACATAGCGCACAATAGCTGACATAGGGAAAGAGGAGTAGAGAGCAACATACATGCACACTAGTTGACATGGAGAAAGAGAAGTAGAGAGCAACATGAAAATGCAGCATAGCTGACATAGGAAAAAGAGAGTGGAGGGGCAACATGACAATAGCAGCAATAGCTACATAGGGAAAGAGAAGTAAGAGCAACATACTAGCAGCAATAGCTGACATAGGGAAAGAAAAGAAAAACAATGACATAGCACAATAGCTGACATAGGAGAAGAGAGAGTAAAAGAGCAACATGACATAGAAAGCAATACTCAATCCTGGGAGAAAAGAGAGATAGAGAGAAACCCTGACATAGCAGCAATACTGACAAAAGGGAAAGAGAGAGCAACTTTGCCCAATAGCAGCAATAGCTGACATAGGGGAAAGAGGGAGTAGAGAGCAACATGACATAGCAGCAATAGCTGACATAGGGGAAAGAGAGAGCAACATGACATAGCAACAATAGCTAATAGGGAAGAAGATAAGAGCAACATACAAAAGCACATATGCTGACATAGGAGAAAGAGAAAATAGAAGAACATGCCCATACAGAAATACTGACATAGGGAAAGAGAGAGTAGAGAGCAACATGACATAGCAGCAATAGTTGACATAGGATAAAGAGAGAGTAGAGAGCAACATGACATAGCAGCAATAGCTGACATAGGGGAAAGAGAGAGTAGAGAGCAACATGACATAGCAGCAATAGCTGACATAGGTGAAAGAGAGAGCAACATGACATAGCAGCAATAGCTGACATAGGAGAAAGAGAGAGTAGAGAGCAACATGACATAGCAGCAATAGCTGACATGGGAGAAAGAGAGAGTAGAGAGCAACATGACATAGCAGCAATAGCTGACATGGGAGAAAGAGAGAGTAGAGAGCAACATGACATAAAGCAATAAGCTGACATGGAGAAAGAAGAGATTAAGAGCAACATGCATAAGCAGAAATAGCTGACATGGGAGAAAGAGATAGTAGAGACAACATGACATACACACATAGCTGACAATGGGAAAGAGAGAGCAACCTGACATAGCAGCAATAGCTGACATAGGGAAAGAGAGAGTAGAGAGCAACATGACATAGCAGCAATAGCTGACATAAGGGGAAAGAGAGAGCAACATGACATAGCAGCAATAGCTGACATAGGGGAAAGAGGGAGTAGAGAGCAACATGACATAGCAGCAATAGCTGACATGGGAGAAAGAGAGAGTAGAGAGCAACATGACATAGCAGCAATAGCTGACATAGGGGAGGAGGAGCGAAAGAGCGTGAAGAGGAGGAGGAGTGCAGAGCGCAGTAGCTACCTCTTCCTGGCGAGTGCTGGCGTGCCCCAGGGGGACGGCAGGGGGGGTCTCGTGAGTCGGCAGGGGGGGGGACCTGCCCCCGCACGACCTGAAAACCCAACCCAACACACACACACACACACATTCAAAACACAACACAAAAACATGGGGCAAAAAGTAAAGCAAAATAGCCCAAACACAGGCCAGGCATTGGCCAAAGTTTAGAGGAGAAAAATAAAAGAGAAAGAGAGAGAAAAGAGAGAGAGGAGAGGAAGAGAAAAGAGAGACAGAGGAGGGAGAGGAGAGGAAGAGAAGAAGAGAAGAAGTTTAATAGAAGAGATAAAGGAGAGTATCGTATAGTTTCTACTAGAACTTCTGGCCCAGAAGAATATGGCCAGAGAGATACCGATTTATAATCATCTTCTTCTATCCTCTCCCTCTCTATTCTCTCTCTCGCCCCAATATCTCTAAGCGTCTTTTAATCCTTATCCTTCTCCTCGAGCTTTCTTTCTACTCTCCTCTCTCTCCTATCTCTTCTCCCCCTCCTCTCTTTTCCTCTCTCTCTCTCTCTTCATAATCGAAGCTCATAACATAGGGGAAGCTGTTTAGTTAAAGCTGAATTACAAGAGCTCTACGCATATCCTAGATAGCACACTACCAGGAAGCTAATGCTACAACATATGCATGGTGAAGGTTTGCATTGAGGTTTGAGAGTCCCAAGTGAAATCACTGTTTTGTGTCTCAGAAGAGATCGATTGAGAGGAACTGAATATCTAAACGTGTTGAGCTGGGGCTTTGCAGCATAGGCTACTGCAGATTGGGTGACTTGTTCGTCGGAGCTTTGATTGTCACGGGATGTAGAAATGACTCCAACAACCATTGATTTGGGGTTGAGAGAACCATCTTCCTAGACTGATTTTTACCGGTTTTACCAAATCACAGACCAATTGAGGGAGTCTGTTTCAATAACTGACCTATTGAAAGAATCACTGACCTATCAAATGAGGGGGGCCTATGGGTCTGTTTTAGTGAGAAACTGACAGTAACTGACGTACCTGTCGAAGGAGTCGGTGGCCATCTTATAAAGGTAGATGAAGAGCTTGCTGCAGTGTTTGAGGGTGGGGCAGACGCTGTCCCCGGCCCCGCCGCCGGCTACAACCCCGTCGTCCTCCAGCAGCCTCAGGAAGGGCTGGGCGTTGGAAGGGAACACCCCCGTGGCTCCAACCTTCTTGGCCTCAGAGAAACAACCCAGCAGCCTGAAGGTGGTGGGGCATGGGTCAATCAATTAATAAATCAATCAATCAATTAATTCATCATATTTATTTATACTCAACAAAAATATAAAACGCAACATGCAACAATTTCAAAGATTTTACTGAGTTACTGCTCATATAAGGAAATCTGTCAATTGAAATAATTAGGCCCTATTCTATGGATTTCACATGACTGGGCAGGGCCGCAGCCATGGGCGAGGCCTGGTTTGGCCCACCCCCCTCAGACGATCCTGCAGGTGAAGAAGCCGGATGTGAAGATCCTGGGATGGCGTGGTTACACGTGGTCTGCGGTTGTGAAGCCGGTTGGACGTACTGCCAAATTCTCTAAAACGACGTTCGAGGAGGCTTATGGTAGAGAAGTTAACATTCAATTCTCTGGCAGCGGCTCTGGTTGACATTCCTGCAGTCAGCATGCCAATTGCACGCTCCCTCAAAACAAGAGACATATGTGGCATTGTGTTGTGTGACAAAACTATACATTTTATAGTGGCCTTTTATTGTCCCCAGCACAAGGTGCACCTGTGTAATGATCATGCTGTTTAATCAGCTTCATGATATGCCACACCTGTCAGGTGGATGGATTATCTTGGCAAAGGAGAAATGCTCACAGGGATGTAAACAAATGTGTACATAACATTTTAGAGAAATAAGCTTTTTGTGCGTCTGGGAAATTTCTGGGAGCTTTTATTTCAGCTCATGAAACATGGGGACCAACACTTTACATGTTGCGTTTATATTTTTGTTCAGTGTAGAAAGACCTTTTTACATCAGTAGCAGCAGTCTCATGTGAAGACAAAACTGACTATCTACTTCCCTGAAATACTTGTGACTTTTTTAAAGATCAATTGGGTATATGACGTTATTTTTAACTATAGTCCACTTAAACAAACCTGAAACCTGAATGAAAGATTCATCAAGCATGTCCTGTACTATACTGTACCTGACGGCGTCTGCCAGTTTTTCGTACTGGATCTCTGTCCTGAAGAAGTGCGAGTTGGCGGGTTCGTACCGCATGGCAGCGGTCAGCGTGCAGAAGACGGTGTGCAGGAGCTCAAACACCTGGTTCTGATTGGCCCGTTCCCACCCGTGAAAAATTCAAAATTTTTTATTTTAATTTTAAAAAACTCAAAAAAAAATTTCATAAAACGCACCCAACCAAGGGGCCCCCCCCCCAATTTCATTAAAAAGGAAATTTTTAATCGGGGGAAATTTCCCTCCCTTCCAAAATTAATTAAGGAAAAAAATTTCCCGGGTCCAAATTGAAAAAAGGCCCCAAAACAAAAAAATTTCATTGGGGTTGTGGGAAAAAACCTACCATGGGGGCCTTTTTGCCCCCCCCCAAGGTCCCCGGTAAGAACCATTTTTAATTTCAGGTTCCGGGTTTCCACCCCTTCGGTTTGGTGGAACCTTGGAAAAAAAATGCCAAATTTTAAAAAAGGTTTTCGAAACCTTTGGAGAAATTTTAACTTTTTTGGGGCGCGCTCGGGGAAATTTTCCCGGGGGATTTTAATTTCAGCCCCCTAAAAAAAGGGCCCAAATTTCCTTTTTTTGGTTTAAAAATTTTTTGGGGTTTTTGTGAGAAGGGGCCCCTTTTATCATCCCTTTAAAGTTTGAAGAAAAACCCCTGACATTATTACCCCGGGAAAAAACTTGGGATTTTTTAAAACTTTTTGGGAAAAAATTTTTGGCGTTATTTTTTAACTTTTTTTTTCCATTTAAAAAACGGGGAAACCTGAATGTTCACCGTGTTTGAAAAATTTTTTACTCGTAACCCTCCGGCCTGCCATTTTTTCTATTTGGACTTTTTTAAGACCGGGGAAAAAGTTTTTTTAAACCCCTTTTTTCCCTTAAAAAACCTGAAACTGTGAAAGTTCAAAGCATTGTTTTTATTCCCTTTTCCACCCGTGCCTTTTTTTCACGGATTGGGTCCGAAAAAAGTATTTGGGGGGTTCTACCAAAGCCCCCAAAAACCTTGGGGAAAGAAACCCCGGTTCGGTTGGCCCCTTCCCAGCACGGGCCCAAAGGAGGGGCCCCCCTTTAAAGGTAGGAGGAAATTAAAAACCCCTGGGGGTGTGTGGGGTGGTTTTGAGGGGGGTTTTTGAAGGGTTTGGGTTTTGGTGGGGTGTGTGGTGTGTGTGTGTGTGGGGTGGTTTTGGTGTGTGTGTGTGTGGGGGTGGTTGTGTTTGTAGGGTGCTTGGTGTGTGGGGGGTTGTGTGGGGGTGATGTGTGGTTGTGGTGTGTGTGGTGTGTGTGGGGTGTTTTTGTGTGTTGTTTTGTGGGGTGTGTTTGTGTGTGTGTGTGGGTGTGTGGGTGTGTGGTGTGTGTGTGGGGTGTTTTTGTGTGTGTGTGGGTTTTGGGTGTGGGGGTGTGGGTTTTTGGGTGTGGTGTGTGTTTGTGGTTGGTGTGGTGTGTGTTTTTTGTGTGGTGTGTGGGGTGTTTTTTTGTGTTTGTGGGGGTGGTGTTTTTGTGGTGTCGGTGTGTGTGTTTGTGTGGGGTGTTGGTGGTGTGTTTTGGGTGTGGTGTGTGTGTGTGGGGTTTTGGTGGTGTGTCGTGTGGTCGGTTTGGTGTGTGTTTTGGTGTGTGTGTGGTGTGTTTTGTGTGTTGTGGGGTGTGTTGTGTCCGGTGTGTGTGTTGGTGTGGGTGGGGTGTGTGTTGTCGGTGGTGTTTTGTGGGTGTTTTTCCCTTTGTGTTTGGGGCCCTGTTGTTTTGTGTTGTGTGGTGGTGTTTGTGTGTGTGTTTCTGTGGGGTGTGTGGGATGTCTTTTGTGTGTGTGGTGTGGGTGTTGTGGTGTGTGTGTGTTTTTTGTGTGTGTGTGTGTGTGGGTGTGTGTGTGTTTTGGGTGTGTGTGGGGCCCTTAAAAATTTTTTGTGTTTGGGGGTTGTTTGTTTTGTGTGGGTGTGTTGTGTGGGTGTTGTGTGTGTGTGGTGTTGGTGTGTTTTTTTGTGTTTGTGTGTGTCGGTGTGTGTTGTTGTTGTGTGTGTGTGTGGTTTTGTGTGTGGTGTTTGTGTGTGTTTTGTGTTGTTGTGTGTGTGGGGTGGTGTGTGTGGGTTTTTTGGGGTGGGGTGTGTGGGGTTTCTGTTTGTGCCCGGTGTGTCGGGGTGTGTGGTTGGTGTGTGGTGTGTGTGTGTTTTTGGTGTGTGGGGTTGTGTGTGTGTGTGCGCGTGCGTGCTGCGTGTGTCGTGTGTGCTTGGGGGGTGTGCCCTCCCCTCGTTGCCCTTTTTTTTTGAGCTGTTTTTCCCTTGGGGGGCGATCCCTCGGCCCCCCGCGCTTTCCCCCCCTTTCCCTCCCTCCCCGGGAGGACAGAAACCATTTGCTGAATGAACATCAAGCACTCCCTGCACTAAACCATACTTCATTTTTTTTTGTGGACGCACCGCGCCCCTCCAAACTCTCTAAACAGCCCTTTTGAGGGGGGGGAAAAGGGAGGGGGAGGGGGGGAAAGAGGGGGGAAAGGGGGGGGGGGGGGGTTGGGGGGGGGCAGGGGGAGGGGGAGGGGGGGGATGGGGGAGAGGAGGGGGGGGGAAAAGGAGGAAAAGGAGGGGGGGGCCGGGGGAAAGGGGAAAGGAAAGGGGCAGGGGAGGGGGACTTTAAAAAGCCCAACAATAAAAAAGGGATCCTAATAAATCATTTCTGTCTTTATTTCACCTATAAACCAACCCCCCATTTCATTTTTTTTCAAAAAAACCATCTCTCTCTTTTAAAACCCTATCACTCCCCTGTTTCTGCTAGGAACACTGACTCATCAATTGAGTCTGGCCTCCACCTCTGTTTAACCTCAAAACCAAAAGAGACAGAGAGAAAAGAAGACGGGCCCCAAACAAACGGACAGAAACAACAGACAGACAGACAGACAAAAACAGAGCCCGACAAGACAGAAAAAGAGCAACTTTAAGCCCAGAACAGACAGAAGCGGAGAGGGGGAGATGGCCCAACAAGGGATGGCCGGATCTTTTGAGATTGGGAAATCCATACACCAAAGCCAGCCGCTAAAAATATAAAAGGGGGGAAGTGTTTTGTTCTTCCGTCCAGTGCCTGACTTTGAGGACAGCAAATGAAACCATTAGTTTTTGGGGTTTTACCCCCTGGCAAATTGAAACCCCTTTCCTCTCTTTTCTCCCGAGAAAATTTAGAAACCCATGAGGGGTTAAAAAGGGGAAGGGTAGAGAAGGGGGAAAATATTTGGAATTTTATGTCAGTCTAAGGGCCCATGACAGAACCCTTCCCTTTTTGGGAAAATTTGCCCAGAGTCAAGTTTGGGGTTAAAATAGAAGTCTTTTTGATCATTTGTCATCCGTCTTTGTTTTGTTTGGGTGTTTGTGTGTGTGTGTGTGTGGGTGTGTGTGTGTTGTTTTAACGCGCTGTCATTGGGGTGTGGGGTCAGTTTGGGGAAAGGCAAGAGACAGATGTTGGGGCCATTCCCAAAAACCCAAAAAACCTAAAGAAACCCGGGAAAAACCCCAGAAAAACCCCCAAGAAACCCGAGTTTGGGGTTTTTGTGCCCTCACCACATTAGGGGAATTGCTTTTCTGAAGGGACTTTTGGAAAAAGGGGGAGGATTCCCCTGGTTTTAAAAAAGGGGAAAATCATTCTAGTTAACCCCCAAAAGAGCAAAAAATACAGAGGTTTTTTTTCCCTTTCACACGGCCTTGTTGGGCCAATTTTTTTCGTGGGGGCGTTTTCGGCGTTGCGGCGTTGCGCGCGGGGCGTGTGTCTTGCGTGGGGTCCCGTGGGGGGTGTGTGGGGTGTGTGTACCTGCTTTATGTTGGACCCTTCCCAGCAGACAGCCCGAGTCTCCATGACCGGGCCAGGCTAACTGCTTCTTTTTTCCTCCGCTCCACGCTGTTCTTACAGCCCCTAAAAAAGAGAGAGCCCGGAAGAAGAGGGTGAGACGGGAAAGAAGAGGGAAAGAGAGAAAAGGGGAAAGAAATAGAGAGACAAAGGAGGGGGGGAAAAATTTAAAGAAAGAGAGAGGGAAGGGGGAAAAGAGAAGAAAAAGGGGGGAAGAAAATGTAAAGGAAAGTTTTCCCGGAAAAAGGAAGAGGGAGAAGGAAGATAAGATAAAAAGAACAAAGATAGGGAAGAGAGAAAGAGTTTTAAAGGAAAGAAGGGATAAAAAGAGATTAATTTTATAAATAAAATTAAAAGAAAAAAGAGATAGAAAATTTTAAAAAATAATTAGAAAAAATAATAAAAATTTTAAAATATAAAACCTTAAAGCGAGAGACTTTAATAAAAAGGGGTTTAAACAAATAAATTATTTTTAAAAATAAATTTAAATAAAAAAATTAATAAAATAAAATTTTTAAATATAAATAATTTATTAAAGCTTTTTTAATTTTATTTAAGAAAAACCCCTTTTTTATTTAAACATAAAAAAATATATATGACAAAAAAAATATTATATATATGGGAAGATAAAAAATATATATATATAAAATATAAAAATTTATATTAATATATAAAATTTTAAAATTTTTTTAAAATATATTTTTTTAAAATAATAAATAAATATGGAAATAAAATATGAAAATATAAAATTTTATAAAATATATAAAATTTTTTAAAAGGGTTAAAAAAAAAATAAAAAAAAAAAAAAAAAAAAAAAAATTTTTTTTTTTTTTTTTTTTTTTTTGTTCCTTACGAATTTTTTTTTTTAAAACCCCCAAAATCATTAATTCACCCCCAGCTAGGCTTTCTCACGGTGGGGTTAGTCAGGGTCCTATTCACTGGGCATGAAAAGGAAGAAACGGTCAGAAAATCTGGACTTGTTGTACAACGGAAAATGTGTGTTTCTGATTGGACGTTTTGAAATGTTATGCAACGGTGTGCCCTAATGAATACGACCCAGTATTGGCTGAGACTGTTGTTGTTGTTGTGTAGCAGGGTCTTTGAGCAGGACAGCGTATCTATGTTAAGGTTATAGTCTATCTAGTACTAACCTTGTTCGCTGTTCTGCGGCTGAGTCTGTTGCTGTTGTGTGGCAGGGTCTTTGAGCAGGGCAGCGTATTTATGCAGGAGGTTAACCAGCACCTCCAGCAGCCCCACCTCCCTCAACACATCACTGAACACCGCGTCATGACGACTCAACTTCAGCAGAGTCCTGGGGGAGGGAGGAGTTAGATTAATCAAATATTTAAATAGTCAATTTAAATTTCGAAGGGCATCCGTATCGATTTCAAAATCAGGAAATGGAACATAGATTTTTTTTGTAAATATATTTTGTATTGATGGACAGAGATACGAGTTTTGATTCCAAATATATGTGGCTTTCCACACCCTAATAGATAAGATGATAGATAAGTAGGTATCTACTCTTACTAGATTTATTACTTTGATTCATCAATTAATCGGCCCTAGCAACCATCAATTAATTGGTTCTGAAGCTCTCACACACACACGCATGCCCATGCTCACGCACGCGCCCAGACGCGCACACAGACGCACACACACACACACAGACAGACAGACGCACACACACACACAGACAGACAGACGCACACACACACACAGACAGACAGACGCACACACACACAGACAGACAGACGCACACACACACAGACACACACACACACACACACACACAGACGCACACACAGACGCACACACAGACGCACACACAGACGCACACACAGACGCACACACAGACAGACACACACACACACACACTCTTCCCCACCTGGTGGCTATGATACTGCAGGTGTAGGACGTAGAGCCCTTCAGCAGGACGCTGACACTGAACAGCTCCTTACAGGGAACATAGTTGAGACTGAACACTACAAACTCCAACAGCTCGAAGTACTTAGTCTGGGCATCAGGCAGCTTGGCCACCTGGAAAAGAGAGATGATTGAATGGGGATCGAGCGTTATTTAGAATAACATATAGCTGCAATACAGTGGTGACGTGTGTATGTGAATCCAGAGGATTCAACCCTGGATGGTAAATAACATCTAAAGTTACTAACCAGAAACTTTTAAAATACATTTGACAGAAATGTAGATAAAATGGCAGTATACATTCACACACACAAAAACCACACACACACACACACACACACCTTGTCAGCGAACTGTGAGAGTGTGTGTTGAGCCTCCAGGATGAAGTAGTTGGCGGGGTCGGCGGCGTAGATGTTGCCGATGGCGTCCAGCAGCGTGGTGGTCAGCAGAGAGGTCTTAGCCCTCAGGAAGGCGTTCTGCAGAACAGAGAACGATTGGAGGTTCCTCACCGTGTGGCCTGGAGAGACAACCCATTAAAGATACTTTATAAAGGGTTTATAAAGTATTTGTTAAGGCATTCTGCAGGACAGAGAACGACTGGAGGTTTCTCACTGTGTGGCCTGGAGACACAAACCAACAATCAATCAACGAAATGTATTTCAGCAGTAGTGGCTTTTCCAGTGACCTTAGATCCCAAAGAGCAAACAGAGCAGAGGCACATTGGGTAGGAAAAGCTCTGGCTGTACCAGGCAGGTCAAGACAAACACTTTACACGAAGGTATTGCAAAAGGATTGTTAAGTATTTATAAGTATTTTATAGACTGTGAGCTAGCTCTTTATAAATAGTAAAAAAAAATTGTGACCATCTTTCCCTTTCAGAGGGGTTGTTACAGGTACAAAACCAATCAAACTAATGCACACACAGACTACCTTGACTCATGCACTTACAAAATAATAGTGTAACTTTGCCCCAGAATTATTTAACTGCAGGGCACTCCCACATATGAAGGAATGTGCCTACCTGATTTAGGGGACTCAGTGAACATTTGGGAGTTAGGGCCAATTTCACCATAAATTTTTTTTGTTGGTGTTAAAGCGTGGTTCAGATTCAATTAGATCTGTGAACCATCTTTTTTTTTTAATGGCTAGCTCAGAATATGAGCTTTACAAAAGTTGTTTATATATTATAGAGATCTGTCCTTTCGGGAGCCCAGATAATTTATTTATACAGTGCCTTCAGTAAGTATTCCCCTTGACCTATTCCACATGTAGTTCTGTTACAGCCTGAAATCAAAATTATTTACCTTTTTTTTTCATCTACACACAATACCCCATAATGACAAAGTGAAATTATGTTTTTAGACATTTTAGCAAATTTTATGAAAATACAGAAATATCTAAATTTACACAAGTGTTCACACCCCTGAGTCAATACATGTTAGAATCACCTTTGGCAGTGATTCCAGTTGTGGGTCTTTCTAGTCAAGACTCGGAGAGCTTTGCACACCTGGATTGTACAATATTTTCACATTATTCTTTTTAAAATTCTTCAAGCTATATCAAGTTGGTTGTTAATCATTGCTAGACAGCCATTTTCAAATCTTGCCATAGATTGTCAAGCCGATTTAAGTCAAAACTGTAACTAGGCCACTCAGGAACATTCAGTCTTGGTAAGCGACTTCAGTGTATATTTGGCCTTGTATTTTAGGTTATTGTCCTGCTGAAAGGTACATTTGTTTCCCCAGTGTATGTTGGAAAGCAGACTGAACCAGGTTTCCCTCTAGGATTTTGCCTGTGATTAGCTCTATAACGTTTCTATTATCCTAAAAAAACTCCCTTGTCCTTGCCGATGACAAGCATACCCATAACATGATGCAGCCACCACCACGCTTGAAAATATGAAGTGGTACTCAGTGATGTGTTGGATTTTCCCCAAACATAACGCTTTGTATTCAAGACAAAAAGTTAATTTCTTAGCCAAATGTTTGGTAGTTTTACTTTAGTGCGTTATTGCAAACAGGATGCATGTTTTGGAATATTTTTTATTCTGTACAGGCTTCCTTCTTTTCACTCTGTCATTTAAGTTTGTATTGTGGAGTAACTACAATGATGTTGATCCATCCTCAGTTGCTTTCTCCTATCACAGCCATTCAACTCTGTAACCGCTTGAAAGTCACCATTGGCCTCATGGTGAAATCCCTGAGCGGTTTCTTTCCTCTCTGGCAACTGAGTTAGGAAGGGCGCCTGTATCTTTGTAGTGACTGGGTGTATTGATATAACATCCAAAGTGTAATGAATAACTTCACCATGCTCAAAGGGATATACCATTTCTGCTTTTTATATTTTTACCCATCTACCAACAGGTGCCCTTCTTTGTGAGGCATTGGAAAACCTCCCTGGTCTTTGAGGTTGAATCTGTGTTTGAAATTCACTGCTCGACTGAGGGACCTTACAGATGTGTGGGGTACAGAGATGAGGTAGTCATTCAAAAACATTCCACACAGAGTGAGTCTATGCAACTTATTATGTGACTTGTTAAGCACATTTTTTAGGCTTGCCATAACAAAGGGGTTGAATACTTATTGACTGAAGACATTTCAGCTTTTCATTTTTAATTAATTTGAAAAAGATTCTAAAAACATCATTCCACTTTGACATTATGGGGTATTGTGTGTAGGCCAGTGACACAAATCATATTTGGACCATTGGGGGTTGCAAAAGGCCATCCTCCAGATAGCAAGGCATTACTGTGAGAAATTGGAGTATGGGCATGACATTTTGATTCCCAGTTACATTGTTTTTAAATTTAGCACCAAATAGAGATTGTGTGAGCAATAATAGGACCAAAGCATAGTTTACATTGTTTAAGGGATATATCACTGGAGACCACCTCTTCCAGGGCAATAGGAGACACCATATTACATTGTTTAAGGGATATATCAGTGGAGACCACCTCTTCCAGGGCTATAGGAGACACCATATTACATTGTTTAAGGGATATATCAGTGGAGACCACCTCTTCCAGGGCTATAGGAGACACCATATTACATTGTTTAAGGGATATATCAGTGGAGACCACCTCTTCCAGGAGACACCATATTACATTGTTTAAGGGATATATCAGTGGAGACCACCTCTTCCAGGGCAATAGGAGACACCATATTACATTGTTTAAGGGATATATCAGTGGAGACCACCTCTTCCAGGGCAATAGGAGACACCATATTACATTGTTTAAGGGATATATCAGTGGAGACCACCTCTTCCAGGTCAATAGGAGACACCATATTACATTGTTTAAGGGATATATCAGTGGAGACCACCTCTTCCAGGGCAACAGGAGACACCATATTACATTGTTTAAGGGATATATCAGTGGAGACCACCTCTTCCAGGGCAATAGGAGACACCATATTACATTGTTTAAGGGATATATCAGTGGAGACCACCTCTTCCAGGTCAATAGGAGACACCATATTACAGTGGAGATCACCTCTTCCAGGGCAACAGGAGACACCATATTACATTGTTTAAGGGATATATCAGTGGAGACCACCTCTTCCAGGGCAATAGGAGACACCATATTATATTGTTTAAGGGACATATCAGTAGAGACCACCTCTTCCAGAGCAACAGGAGACACCATATTACATTGTTTAAGGGATATATCAGTGGAGACCACCTCTTCCAGGGCAATAGGAGACACCATATTATATTGTTTAAGGGACATATCAGTGGAGACCACCTCTTCCAGAGCAACAGGAGACACCATATTACATTGTTTAAGGGATATATCAGTGAAGACCACCTCTTCCAGGAGACACCATATTACATTGTTTAAGGGATATATCAGTGGAGACCACCTCTTCCAGGAGACACCATATTACATTGTTTAAGGGATATATCAGTGGAGACCACCTCTTCCAGGGCAACAGGAGACACCATATTACATTGTTTAAGGGATATATCAGTGGAGACCACCTCTTCCAGGACAACAGGAGACACCATATTATATTGTTTAAGGGATATATCAGTGAAGACCACCTCTTCCAGGTCAATAGGAGACACCATATTTATCTCTCTACTCAGCTAGGGGGCAGAAGAATCATGTCTAAACCAATGTACAGCAGGATAGGGTGAAATTATAGAGCCTGGAAATACAATTTAAAGTTTGGTACGGAAAGTCCTCCAACGTCTTTCCCTCTTTGTAAATTTATAAATTTCATTAGGGATCGTTTACCTTGCCATATAAAATGTTGAAACTGCACTATTCATTTTATCTTAATAACCAGAAGGGGGAGCCATGGGAAGCATTGAACTACACAAATTCAGCCGTGGCAATATATTCATTATGACAATAGATATTCTGTCGGTTAAAGCACCTGGGATATTATTCCATCTACTGAGGTCAGATTAAATAGATTTGAGCATTCTGTTAAAGTTTCTGGCAACGGTTTTATCTGAAGGAGGAAATAAGTGACTCGTTTAAGTAAACTAGGCATATGTCTCACATCACTACTTCACAGGAGCGGCATTTGAACGTAAACATTTCTTTGGCAGAAATGCCTTCGGGAACATGTGAACTTTCATGAGCCTTAATAAATAACTTGTATTCCAACCATAAATACGTATACAATTTTAAAATTACGAGCATAGTTGGTTTAGCCACGTTAAAAAGACAGGAACCTTTCCCGTTAGCCGTGATTGGCTGAGATAATGGATGGGCTGGACATCCCGGAGATGAGATTGGATTGGTCTGCCGTGTAGCCTGCTTCTGTCTATAATGTGAGCTGTTCAAGTATGTGTTGACAGTCCTCTCTACCACAAGTTAGCCATCGAGAACTACAAAAAATAAAAGTTATGCAACTTTTCTCAACGACATTGATGACCTGAATTTAGCAGGCGCTATCGACAGATCAGTTGGGAAAAGTGATGGGATACTTTCTGCACACGCCACGGTCAGTGTGAACCAGAGTGACTTGACAACGCTAGACAAACCTGATGTAGCTACAGAGTTAAATGGTTCCAGTCTGCCGTGAAGCGTTCATCCATGTATACAGGGAAGAGTTAGCTACATTTTCAGATATAAGTTTCTAAATTTGTCAGAAAGTCGTTTTTATTGCAAGTTAAAGCATACTGTTAGTTAGCTAGCAAACGTTAGCTTGCTGGCTCGCTAGCTAATGTTATGTGTATGATCTGTGTAGTAATATTATTTGAATCAGACAAATGCATTTGCATTGCCAGTTATAGCCTAATGTTAGCTACCTAATATTGAAAATAGCTTGTTGAGAAAGCTCTAAAAAAGTTAACAACATTTCCAATTCTGATATTTTTTTTATTCTGATTTATTCAAACCAGATGCAAATGCAGTTGCACCATTTTTTATAAAACCTTTAGATCCATTTCAAACAGAATGTAGGATTTTGTAGTAATGAAACATTGAAACGCCATCTTGTGGCTCTTCTAGGAGATTCTGAAATGTGACGTTGGCAGTAGTAAGCATGGTGGTCAGACAAGCTCATATGTCAAATTTCTTGATAAAAAAAAATTTGAGGTGTAGATAATACAGTAGTATGAAATCAATTCGTGAGATCTGATTTACAGTGAGATCTGATTTACAGTGAGATCTGATTTACAGTGCATTTGGAAAGTATTCAGACCACATCACTTTTTCCACATTTTGTTACGTTACAGCCTTATTCTAAAATGTATTAAATAAACACAAATCCTCGTAAATCTACACACAATACCCCATAACAACAAAGCAAAACAGGATTTTAGAATTTTTTACAAATTTATAAAAGAACAAAAACAAAAATACTTTATTTACATAACTATTCAGAGCCCTTTGCTATGAGACTCAATTTAGCTCAGGTGCATCCTGTTTCCATTGATCATCCTTGAGATGTTTCTACAACTTCATTGTGGTCCACCTGTGGTAAATTCAATTGATTGGACATGATTTGGAAAGGCACATACCTGTCTATATAAGGTCCCACAGTTGACAGTGCATGTCAGAGCAAAAACCAAGCCATGAGGTCGAAGGAATTGTCCGTAGAGCTCCAAGACAGGATTGTGTCGAGGCACAGATCTGGGGAAGGGTACCAAAAAATTTCTGCAGCATTGAAGGTCCCCAAGAACACAGTGGCCTCCATCATTCTTAAATGGAAGAAGTTTGGAACCACCAAGACTCTTCCTAGAGCTGGCTGCCCGGCCAAACTGAGCAATCGGGGGAGAAGGGCCTTGTCCAGGGAGGTGACCAAGAACCCGATGGTCACTCTGACAGGGCTCCAGAGAACCTTCCAGAAGGACAACCATCTCTGCAGCACTCCACCAATCAGGCCTTTAAGGTAGAGTGGCCAGACGGAAGCCACTCCTCAGTAAAAGGCACATGACAGCCCGCTTGGAGTTTGCCAAAAGGCACCTAAAGGACTCTCAGACCATGAGAAACAAGATGCTCTGGTCTGATGAAACCAAGATTGAACTCTTTGGCCTGAATGTCAAGCGTCACATCTGGAGGAAACCTGGCACCATCCCTACAGTGAAGCATGTTGGTGGCAGCATCATGCTGTGGGGATGTTTTTCAGCGGCAGGGACTGGGAGACTAGTCAGGATCGAGGGAAAGATGAATGGAGCAAAGTACAGAGAGATCCTTGATGAAAACCTGCTCCAGAGCGCTCAGGACCTCAGACTGGGGCGAAGGTTCACCTTCCAACAGGACAACGACCCTAAGCACACAGCCAAGACAATGCAGGAGTGGCTTCGGGCCAAGTCTCTGAATGTCCTTTAGTGGCCCAGCCAGAGCCCGGACTTGAACCCGATCTAACATCTCTGGAGAGACCTGAAAATAGCTGTGCAGCAACGCTCCCCATCCAACCTGACAGAGCTTGAGAGGATCTGCAGAGAAGAACGGGAGAAACTCCCCAAATACATGTGTGCCAAGCTTGTAGCGTCATACCCAAGAAGACTCAAGGCTGTAATCGCTGCAAAAGGTGCTTCAACAAAATACTGAGTAAAGGGTCTGAATACTTACAGTGGGGGAAAAAAGTATTTAGTCAGCCACCAATTGTGCAAGTTCTCCCACTTAAAAAGATGAGAGAGGCCTGTAATTTTCATCATAGGTACACGTCAACTATGACAGAGAAAATGAGGGAAAAAAATCCAGAAAATCACATTGTAGGATTTTTTATGAATTTATTTGCAAATTATGGTGGAAAATAAGTATTTGGTCAATAACAAAAGTTTCTCAATACTTTGTTATATACCCTTTGTTGGCAATGACACAGGTCAAACGTTTCCTGTAAGTCTTCACAAGGTTTTCACACACTGTTGCTGGTATTTTGGCCCATTCCTCCATGCAGATCTCCTCTAGAGCAGTGGTGTTTTGGGGCTGTCAACTCCCTCCAAAGATTTTCTATAGGGTTGAGATCTGGAGACTGGCTAGGCCACTCCAGGACCTTGAAATGCTTCTTACGAAGCCACTCCTTCGTTGCCTGGGCGGTGTGTTTGGGATCATTGTCATGCTGAAAGACACAGCCACGTTTCATCTTCAATGCCCTTGCTGATGGAAGGAGGTTTTCACTCAAAATCTCACGATACATGGCTCCATTCATTCTTTCCTTTACACGGATCAGTCGTCCTGGTCCCTTTGCAGAAAAACAGCCCCAAAGCATGATGTTTCCACCCCCATGCTTCACAGTAGGTATGGTGTTCTTTGGATGCAACTCAGCATTCTTTGTCCTCCAAGCACGACGAGTTCTATTTTGGTTTCATCTGACCATATGACATTCTCCCAATCCTCTTCTGGATCATCCAAATGCACTCTAGCAAACTTCAGACGGGCCTGGACATGTACTGGCTTAAGCAGGAGGACACATCTGGCACTGCAGGATATGAGTCCCTGGCGGCGTAGTGTGTTACTGATGGTAGGCTTTGATACTTTGGTCCCAGCTCTCTGCAGGTCATTCATTAGGTCCCCCCGTGTGGTTCTGGGATTTTTGCTCACCGTTCTTGTGATCATTTTGACCCCACGGGGTGAGATCTTGCGTGGAGCCCCAGATCGAGGGAGATTATCAGTGGTCTTGTATGTCTTCCATTTCCTAATAATTGCTCCCACAGTTGATTTCTTCAAACCAAGCTGCTTACCTATTGCAGATTCAGTCTTCCCAGCCTGGTGCAGGTCTACAATTTTGTTTCTGGTGTCCTTTGACAGCTCTTTGGTCTTGGCCATAGTGGAGTTTGGAGTGTGACTGTTTGAAGTTGTGGACAGGTGTCTTTTATACTGATAACAAGTTCAAACAGGTGCCATTAATACAGGTAACGAGTGGAGGACAGAGGAGCCTCTTAAAGAAGAAGTTACAGGTCGGTGAGAGCCAGAAATCTTGCTTGTTTGTAGGTGACCAAATACTTATTTTCCACCATAATTTGCAAATAAATTCATAAAAAATCCTACAATGTGATTTTCTGGAGAAAAAAAATCTCAATTTGTCTGTCATAGTTGACGTGTACCTATGATGAAAATTACAGGCCTCTCTCATCTTTTTAAGTGGGAGAACTTGCAAATTGTTGGCTGACTAAATACTTTTTTTCCCCACTGTATGTAAATGTGATATTTCAGTCGTTTATTCTTAATTATTAAAATTAAAATTTGGAAACACTTCTAAAAAAACAGTTTTTGCTTCGTCATTATGGGGTATTGTGTGTAGATTGATGAGGGGGAAAAAACATATGTAATCAATTTTAGAATAAGGCTGTAACGTAACTAAATGTGCAAAAAGTAAAGGAGTCTGAATACTTTCCGAAGGCGCTGTAAATCAAGGTTCCCTGACTGACTGGCTCTCACTATGAAAAAACGACCTGAAAAATGGACAACCAAAAGGTTGTTGGTGAAAGCTTCCTGTCATTTGCCATTGTAATGTCAATTGCTGGTAACTCCAAAATGGTGACAGGTAATGTTTTGAGAAGAGGTTTTACACGAGGCTGAGATTTAAAACCACATCTCTATAGCTTACTCTAATAGACCTACTGCTGTACATATCATTCTTAGCTGATCTTGTGTACATTCTCCCGGTGTACCTACGTATAGATTGCATTTGATTACTGCTTTAGTGCTATTTGGGTTGTTAATCAGTCATTGTAGTACGGCGCCCCTTGAGCAAATTATGGTTAAGCGCCTTCCTTCAATGGCACAGACAGATTTTTCACCTCGTCGGCTCGGATATTCGAACCAGCGACCTTTCAGTTACTGGCCCAACGCTCTAACCACTAGGCTACCTGCCGCCCTGATAAACACCTTCTAAACTGTGTACGCGACCAATAAAGTTTGATTTGATTTCCATTTAACTGCAGGCTGAGTCAGATGGCGGGTCAGTGCTTCCCCCAGACAACTGGACTTCCCAGTTCAACACCCCACTTCCCTGTTAGGGCCCAGAGCTCAACACACTCCTATGACACTTCCACATTCTGGACAGTTTGGTTTTCACACACAGAGACTCAAGTTCATAAAAATTGAATTAGTAGAACGGCAAATTCTTCATACCATGGCAAATCTGGCTGCACCCGTTAAGGTACATTGACTAAAATGGGGAAACCCTGTTCTAGTAACGCTGTTTCTATTGGTTAAGACGTTAACTAGGAGGTGTGGCAGAGGCTAAGTAAACCCTGGAGCCGTGATGATGCTTGGATGACTGTACCTTTCCCAGAAGGCTGTGGGAGTACGAAGCCGGGCAGGAAAAAGGGGGCTCCAGTGGTGAGACCGGCCGGTTTGAGCTCCGTCACGCCATAGGTGGTCAGACACGTCACCAGGTTGACCAGGTCCTTCAGAGCATCACTGCTGTCCTCCTCTTTGGCCTGCTCCAGTCTGGTGGGGGGGGGAAGAGTAGTGAAACAAGTAACACACACACTATGTTGTAGGGGAGAGGGGGAAGGGGTTAATACCATAACACACTATGTTGTAGGGGAGAGGAAGGGGTTAATACCATAACACACTATGTTGTAGGGGAGAGGAAGGGGTTAATACCATAACACACTGTGTTGTAGGGGAGAGGAAGGGGTTAATACCATAACACACTATGTTGTAGGGGAGAGGAAGGGGTTAATACCATAACACACTATGTTGTAGGGGAGAGGAAGGGGTTAATACCATAACACACTATGTTGTAGGGGAGAGGAAGGGGTTAATACCATAACACACTATGTTGTAGGGGAGAGGAAGGGGTTAATACCATAACACACTATGTTGTAGGGGAGAGGAAGGGGTTAATACCATAACACACTATGTTGTAGGGGAGAGGAAGGGGTTAATACCATAACACACTATGTTGATGGGGAGAGGAAGGGGTTAATACCATAACACACTATGTTGTAGGGGAGAGGAAGGGGTTAATACCATAACACACTGTTCAGAACATCTCTACACTACTGTCCTCATTGACCTGCTCCAGCCTGGGGGGGGATGGAGTTGTTAATACACACACACACACACACACACTCTCCCCTACAACTCTAATCTTAGTCTACCTGAGCATGAGGTCGCAGAGGAAGGTGTAACCCTGACACATCCTGAAGTCGTCCAGCAGGGTCTGAGAGACGTCGCTGGAGTCCTTCAGGAAGCAGGACAGACCAGCAAACATCTCTACGATCTCCAGGGGTGAGAGGTCATCTGACTGCTGCATGTTCTGGATACACGTGGCCAGGCACTCTTTCTCTGAGGGAGGGGGGGTGAGGGGGGGGCAGTTAATTTGGCAGCGCACACACACACACGACCACGGAACACACGACCACGGAACACACGACCACGGAACACACGACCACGGAACACACGACCACGGAACACACGACCACGGAACACACGACCACGGAACACACGACCACGGAACACACAACCACGGAACACACGACCACGGAACACACGACCACGGAACACACGACCACGGAACACACGACCACGGAACACACGACCACGGAACACACGACCACGGAACACACGACCACGGAACACACGACCACGGAACACACCACCACGGAACACACGGAACACACGACCACGGAACACACGGAACACACGACCACGGAACACACCAACTTTGCATGTCCATTGTGTCCATCCATCTGCATGTTCTGGGTACACAGATGCCAAACATTTAGGGTTGCAAAAATTCAGAAAACGTTCCCAAAATTCCCAGGTTTTCCAGAATTCCTGTTTGGAGGCTTAACAAATTTAGGAGGGAATAAGAAGGGAACTTATTTACAAATGGAAATCCTCTCAACAAGATTTCTGGAAACTGGGAATTACGGGAAATGGTTAATGAATTTTGCAACTCTACAATGAACAACCAACCCCCCCAAAACTCTCACCGTGGATGTACTTGACGACGTTGACGCTGAGGCCGTGTCGTGAGATGGTGGTGAGCACCTGGCCGGAGCTCTTCCTCCAGGGCAGGTTGTGGGGGGGGCACCAGGATGTGATGGCAGAGAAGAGTAGCTGAAGGTCGTCTTTCTGGGCCAGCTCCTCCGCAGGGGAGACGAAGCTACACAGCTTCACCAGGATCTAGTCACAACACAGTAATACAATTGTTGTAACATTTTTTTTTTTTTTTACTCTTTACTATAACCCTTAACCCCCACATAGCTTCACCAGGATATGGGGGAATTGAGCTAGAGAAGGGGGGCTAAAGGGAGAGCGAGGGGGGCTAGAAGCCAGGATGGAAGGGCTAGGGAGGAGGGGCTATGAGAAGGGGCTAGGGAGTAGTGACCATGGACTAGGGGTTGATTACAGACCTGTACGAAGACCTTCTGAAGAAGGGCCCGGCGGTCAGCCAGGGGCAGCTCTGAGGTCTGGGTCTGTGAAGTCCCAGGGGCCTCGGCCATGTGAGGAAGGTCAAAGAACAGATACAGACACTTCACCAGGGTGGAGGGCACAGACATGGTGGTCATGCAGTCCACCGTTTTCTACAGGGAGGAGAGAGACACACATTATTAAAAAAAACGACTTCACACAGGTTACACAAAGCCCCCCCACAATAACCAGTGATTTACTCTGACAGTGATTCACTCTTACCTGTGAAAAGTGTGCTTGTGCGTGTGTGTTCATTCCATGCGCGTGTGTGTGTGTGCGTGCGTGTGTGTGCACGTGTGGGTCCCACGTGGCAGGCTTTGAACTTCGATAACACTGTCACCTGTACTGGGGACAGCTCATTAACAGTAATGAGAGTAGCCCTCCCAAACGTGTGTGTGTGTGTGTGTGTGTGTGTGTGTGTGTGTGTGTGTGTGTGTGTGTGTGTGTCAGAATCATGGCTGTTTATCGACGCAGATGGAAAAACGCTGAAACAGAGGGGCTCGAGCTTATTCATGTAAATGATTCACGCAAATCAAACGCTAACTCCCACACACTCCCACGTGTGAGCTGAGCTCCCTTCATTACTGACATGCCTGGAGGAAGACTCACCACTGAATCACTGAGAAGAGCAGTAACACAAACACACAGCAGAACAGACGGGAGAGGAGGAGAGAAGAAAACGAGTGTTCCTGACGAGGAAGCAGCAGAGAGGAGAGAGGAGAGGAGAGAATGGACAGAGAGAGAGAGAGAGAAGGAAGAGAGAGAGAGAGAGGAGAGAAGGGAGGAGGAGAGAAGGGAGAGAGAGAAGAGAGGAGAGAGAAGGGAGGAGAGGAGAGAGAAGGGAGGAGAGGAGCAGAGAGGAGAGGAGGTAGGAGAGAGAAGAGATAAGGGAGGAGAGAGAAGAGAGGAGAGATAGGAGAGAAAGGAGAGAGAGAAGGGAGAGAGGAGAGGAGAGAGAGGAGAGGGTAGAGGGTGGTTGGTCTGAAAGGTAATGACGATGAGGCGATAGGTATGGAGAGGAGACCCCAGTGAGACAGCTGTATGCAGTCAGGGAAGGTGAATGGGATGGTCTGAATGGTGAATGAATGAATGAATATCTCAATAGTCTGGATTTCCTGGATGTATGTAGTCAGTACAGCTGCCAGGGACCTCACGGTACGATATCACAATACTTATGTGCCGATACGATATGTATTGCGATTCTCATGCTTCCATATGTATTACGATTCTCATGCTTCCATATGTATTACGATTTGAGACTGTGATTTTATAGTGATTTGATGTTCCAAACATATTGCTCACTATATGTCTGCTGCAGAGAGACAAGAGAGAGCCATGAGAAAATGAGTTTTGATCCGTCATGGAAATAAAAGTGCTGAAAACATGTTGGCTCACTATTTAAAAAGAAGATGGAGAACAAGCTATAGGATTGAAAATACCAGAGTTTTGGCGCAGGTATAGCCGACTAGCACTAGCTAACGCTAACTAGCAAAACATACATACATATATATACATACATACATACATACATACATACATACATACATACATACATACATATATATATATACACATACATATATATATATATACTACCAGTCAAAAGTTAGAACACCTATTCATTCCAGGGTTTTTCAATTTTTTACATTGTAGAATAATAGTGAAGACATCAAAACTATGAAATAACACATATGGAATCATGTAGTAACCGAAAAAAAGTGTTAAACAAATCAAAATGTATTTTATATTTGAGATTCTTCAATTAGCCACCCTTTGCCTTGATGACAGCTTTGCACACTCTTGGCATTCTCTCAACCAGCTTCATGAGGTAGTCACCTGGAATGCATTTCAATTAACAGGTGTGCCTTCTTAAAAGTTAATTTGTGGAATTTCTTTCCTTCTTAATGCGTTTGAGACAATCAGTTTTGTTGTGACAAGGTGGGGGGGGGGGGATATACAGAAGATAGCCCTATTTGGTAAAAGACCAAGTCCATATTATGGCAAGAACAGCTCAAATAAGCAAAGAGATACGACAGTCCATCATTACTTTAAGATATGAAGGTCAGTCAATACGGAAAATTTCAAGAACTTTGAAAGTATCTTCAAGTGCAGTCGCAAAAACCATCAAGCGCTATGATGAAACTGTCTCTCTCTCCCACCACAGGAACGGTTACTACATGATTCCATATGTGTCATTTCATAGTTTTGATGTCTTCACTATTATTCTACAATGTAGAAACTAGTAAAAATAAAGAAAAACCCTTGAATGAGAGAGGGGGGAGCAGAGAGAGAGAGAGAGAGAGAGAGAGAGAGAGAGAGAGAGAGAGAGAGAGAGAGAGAGAGAAAGAGAGAGGGGGGGAGACAGAGAGAGAAAGAGAGAGGGTGCCATTTCATTCATCAGTTACCAGACTACGGAGAGTGAGCGAGGGACAGATGGAGAGAGGGAAGATTGGAGGGAGATTAAATATAGAATGTGTGTGTTCGTGTATATTTGGGTGTGTGTGTGTACTGTAGACGTTTCCGATTTTTTCTACTGGAAAGAAAGGAGGGAGGAGAGCCAAGGGGGCAGAATTTAGAATGTGTTGGAGGATGAACCGAGAGAGAGAAAGAGAGAGAGAGAGCACTGTTGTTGCTATGACGTCAGGTGGAAGGGAGGGTGCCAAGAGGCCCATTGTTTTACTGTCTGAGACCGCTGTGTGTGTGTGTGTGTGTGTGTGTGTGTGTGTGCGCGCGCACCCACGCGCATGCGAATGTGTGTTGTCATGCTTGTCTGCGACAACGTAGCAGGGAACACACATCCATTACCCCAGCCAGCCAGCCAGCCAGTCAGCCAGCCAGCCAGACAGTCAGCCAGCCAGCCAGCCAGCCAGTCAGCCAGCCAGCCAGCCAGCCAGTCAGGGCAGAGAGATGCAAGACACAGAAACGGTAGAAGTAGACTGTTCTGTCCCATTTTACTTTACAGTCCTGCAGTGACCTGGTCTTCACACACGTGATGCCATATAATCACATTACATTATAGTTACATTATATCTACCAACTGAGTGAGAATAAAGATGAGTAGATATTCTCTTATTGTATGTATGTTGGTTAATTCTATGAAAGGGATCAAACTACATATTTTAGTCAAGACAAGTCACGTTTTTTTGTACAGGGGAGAAGGGTCAATAAAGTTGAGTGAAGGCCATAATTGAAAAGAGGTTTAATTTCCCTGCTGTGTGACGTTCTACAGTTTAATTTCCCTGCCAGTAAATCTCAGTAAGACAAAAATAATGGTGTTCCAAAAAAGGTCCAGTTGCCAGGACCACAAATACAAACAGACCCCACAGAGCCCCAGGACAACAACACAATTAGACCCAAACAAATCATGAGAAAACAAAAAGATAATTACTTGACACATTGGAAAGAATTAACAAAAAAACTGAGCAAACTACATGCTATTTGGCCCTAAAGAGAGAGTACACAGTGGCAGAATACCTGACCACTGTGACTGACCCAAAATGAAGGAAAGCTTTGACTAGGTACAGACTCAGTGAGCATAGCCTTGCTATTGAGAGGCCGCTGTAGGCAGACCTGGCTCTCCAGAGAAGACAGGCTATGTGCACACTGCCCACAAAATGAGGTGGAAACTGAGCTGCACTTCCTAACCTCCTGACAAATGTATGACCATATTAGAGACACATATTACAGAGATCCACAAGGAATTCACCCCCAAAATCCAAATTTTGATAAACTCCCATATCTACTGGGTGAAATACCACAGTGTGCCATCACAGCAGCAATATTTGTGACCTGTTGCCACAAGAAAAAGGGCAACCAGTGAAGAACAAACACCATTGGGAATACAACCCATATTTATGTTGATTTATATTCCCTTTTGTTCTATTTTACACATTGTTACAACACTGTATATAGACATAATATGACATTTGAAATGTCTTTATTCTTTTGAAACTCTTATGAGTGTAATGTTTACTGTTCATTTTTTATTTGTTTATAAATCTATTTCACTTGCATTGGCAATGTAAACGTATGTTTCCCATGCCAAAAACGCCCTTTGAATTGAATTGAAAGAAAGAGACCGCTAGAAAGAGAGAGAGGAGAGAGAGAAAGTGAGACAAACAGAGAGGAGAAGGACCTCTAAAAGGAAACTAAGGCTTCACGTCTCCAAACAAACCCACAAAAGAGTGCATTTCTGATCTTCAGTGAAGCAAGAGAAGCCTCCTCCCACCTCCCCGAAGACTTTCAGACCAATTGAAATTAAAGTTTAAAGAATGTATGTGAGGGTTGAGGGAGATAAAAACAAGTGCATGACAGCGTCCCAAATGGCACCCTATTCCCTATGGACTCTGGTCAAAAGTAGTGCACTATATAGGGAATAGGGTGCTCTTCGGGACGCAGTTCTTAAGTAACATCCTTCCCTATGGTTCCCCTATGGCCACATGCTGCTTGACAAATCACTGCATTTGTAATATTGAACAACTTTATAATTATATAATGTGTATTCTATGTACAGTATCTATCTACAAAAGACACAGGGACACAACCTTCCCACAACTTTCTGGGAATGGTGCAGGATAGTTGCTTGGCTTTGGAACATTCTCAGCACATTTGAGGAACTTGACAAAAAAAAAAAAAAAACTACGTATTTTGTTGGTATTTCATTACTTAAACACAGTGGTTGGTTGATCGGGATCGACTGGTCAATCTCCAAGGCTTTTCCTAGTCGATCTCCAAGGCTTTTCCTAGTCGATCTCCAAGGCTTTTCCTAGTCGATCTCCAAGGCTTTTCCTAGTCGATCTCCAAGGCTTTTCCTAGTCGATCTCCAACATTTCTGTAAAAACCCAACAATAAAGCCTTGTGTTCCTATTTTGTGTATTTGTTGCACGCTGTTGGTGGTAGGTGCACTTGATTCAGCAGACCTGGCGCCGGAAAGGCAAAGTTTTCCCATTTTGAACCATTTTATGTGTCTGAAGGTAGAACTCCGCCTACCCGGCAGGCCCAGAGAGGTTCACCTTCCAGCAGGACAATGACCCTAAACATACTGCTAAAGCAACCTTCTCGCCAGCCGTGATTTTGGGCAGCTCCATGGTAAGAAATGTGACTGTTCCTGATACAAAAACAATGTCCTATACCGGAGCTCGAGTAAATGACATTACTAAGCTGTTCTCCGAATGTACTACGCCAGGACATGGACATCGATTCTATCGCAGTCCATGTGGGTTTTAATGACATTATGAAGGGCAGTTCTGAACAGTTAACTGGATTTTAAAGAGCTGATCAACTCTCTACTAGAGACTAATAAAAGACCCATCATATCATTCCTGTGCCCTCTCTGAATCGTGACATTGAACGCTTTAGCAGGATTCTTTCTCTTCACAACTGGCTACGTGATTATTGCAGCTCAATGGGTGTAACTTTTGTTGACAATTTCGATACCTTTTGGAAACAAAACAGGTTTTATAAGGAGGATGGGATCCACCCAAATCATTTGGGTTCCTGGATCCTTTCACAGCATTATAAGGCTGCGTTGAGACAATGACTTTTCAATGACCCAAGCACAGCTCAATTAATCCCTACCATTGTGTCACTGAGTCATCGTAATGCTTTAGCAAATGTACATTGTGTCGCTGAGTCATCATAATGCTTTAGCAAATATACATTATACCAGGGGCATTGGTAGACAATGTAAGTAACCTAATTTATTTCCCTCTAACTGCCCTGAATGCCTCTGCTGATCCTACAGCTATTGTACGCAGCAATCATGTGCCTATGAGCCAGTTTTATGATGTTGGCACTGAGGTGGTGTGCCCTAGTAGGAAGTCCACTAACATAAATAATATGAGAATATCTACTTCTGCTAAGCTTCCCAGTAAAGCAATGAAAACAAGCAAGCATCCCAGAAAAGTGCTAAAAAATAGCCCATATTAACATATGTAGCTTAAGAAACAAGGTTCATGAAATTAATAACTTAATAGTAACAGATGACATTCATATTCTGACTCTCTGAAACTCACTTAGACAATACCTTTGATGATACAGTGGTAGCAATACAATGTTATAACATTTACAGAAAATACAGAAATGCCAGTAGTGGAGGTGTTGCTGTTTATATTCAGAACCACATTCCTGTAAAGATTAGAGAGGATCTCATGTTAAATACTGTTGAAGTAATATGGCTACAGGTTCATCTGCCTCACCTAAAGCCCATTCTGGTGGGAAGATGCTATAGACCACCAAGTGTTAAGAGTCAGTATCTTGATAACGTGTCAAATGCTTGATAATGTATGTGATAAACAGAGAGGTATAATTTTCTGGGCGATTTAAATATTGACTGGCTTTCATCAAGCTGCCCACTCAAGAAAAAGCTTCATACACTAACCAGTGCCTGCAACCTGGTTCAGGTTATCAGTCAACCTACCAGGGTAGTTACAAACAGCACAGGAATGAAATCAACATGTATTGATCACATCTTTACTAATGCTGCAGAACTGTGCTTGAAAGCAGTATCCAGATCCATCGGATGTAGTGATATCTAGGAAAACCACAGTTCCAAAGGCTGGCCCTAATATATACGTTTTGTTGTGATTCCTATGTTGTTGAAATATTTGCTGGTCTGTGGTGTGTAATGAGGAGCAAACCGACGTTGCACTTGACACATTTATGAAATTGCTTAACCAGTTACCAATAAGCATGCACCTATTAAGAAAATGACTGTAAAACATGTAATCCCTGTGGATTGATGAGGAATTGAAAAATGGTATGGTTGAGAGGGATGAGGCAAAAGTCTGGCTGCACAACCGATTGGCAAACGTACTGCAAATTGAGAAATCATGTGACTAAACTGAATAAAAAGAAGAAACTACACTATGAAACAAAGATAAATGACATGAAAATTGATAGTAAAAAGCTTTGGAGCACCGTCAATGACATTTTGGGGAAAAAGTCAAACAGCTCCATCATTCATTGAATCAGATGGCTCATTCATTACAAAACCGACAGATATTGCCAACTACTTTAATGATTTTTTAATTGGCAAGATTAGCAAATTTAGGCATGACTTGCCAGCAACAAACGTCGACACTACACATCCAAGTATATCTGACCAAATTATGAAAGACAAGAATTGTCATTTTGAATTCTGTAAAGGGAGTGCGGAAGAGGTGAAAAGGGTATTGTTATCAACAATGACAAGCCACCGGGGTCTGACAACTTGGATGGAAAATTACTGAGTATAATAGTGGACAATATTGCCACTCCTATTTGCCATATCTTAAATTTAAGCCTACTAGAAAGTGTGTGCCCTCAGGCCTGGAGGGAAGCAAAAGTCATTCCGCTACCTAAGAATAGTAAAGCCCCCTTTACTGGCTCAAATAGCTGACCAATCAGCCTGTTACCAACCGTTAGTAAACTTTTGGAAAAAATTGTGTTTGACCAGATACAATGCTATTTTACAGTAAACAAACTGACAACAGACATTTAGCACGCTTATACAGAATGACATTCAACAAGCACAGCACTTACACAAATTACTGATGATTGGCTGAGAGAAATTGATGATAAAAATATTGTGGGAGCTGTTTTGTTAGACTTCAATGCGGCTTTTGACATTATCGATCATAGTCTGCTGCTGGAAAAACATATGTGTTATGGCTTTACACCCCCTGCTATGATGTGGATAAAGAGTTACCTGTCAAACAGAACACAGAGGGTGTTCTTTAATGGAAGCCTCTCCAACATAATCCAGGTAGAACCAGGAATTCCCCAGGGCAGCTGTCTAGGCCCCTCACTTTTTAAAATCTTTACTAACGACATGCTACTGGCCTTGAGTAAAGCCAGTGTGTCGATGTATGCGGATGACTCAACACTATACACGTCAGCTACCACAGCGACTGAAATGACTGCAACACTTAAAGAGCAGCAGTTAGTTTCAGAATGGGTGGCAAGGAATAAGTTAGTCCTAAATATTTCAAAAACTAAAACCATTGTATTTGGGGACAAATCATTCACTAAACCCACAACCTCAACTAAATCTTGTAATAAATAATGTGGAAATTGAGCAAGTTGAGGTGACTAAACTGCTTGGAGTAACCCTGGATTGTAAACTGTCATGGTCAAAACATATCGATACAACAGTAGCTAAAATGGGGAGAAGTCTGTCCATAATAAAGCGCAGCTCTACCTTCTTCACAGCACTATCAACAAGGCAGGTCCTACTGGCTCTAGTTTTGTCACACCTAGACTACTGTTCAGTCGTGTGGTCAGGTGCCACAAAGAGGGACTTAGGGAAATTGCAATTGGCTCAGAACAGGGCAGCACGGCTGGCCCTTGGATGTACACAGAGAGCAAACATTAATAAATATGCATGTCAATCTCTCCTGGCTCAAAGTGGAGGAGATATCATAGCCAGTTCGCGAACAATTCGTTATTTTTGATTGACTCTTTTTTTACTGATTTGAGAGTTATAAATGTGTTTTTCTGAGTGACTCGTTCATTTTAGTCGTTCGTTTGACTTGTTAGTGCTGGCAGCAATGAGTCCTACAGCAGGATTAATACATACTCCTCCGGCTGGCAGCAATGAGTCCTACAGCAGGATTAATACATACTCCTCCGGCTCAGCGGCTCCAGAGACCAACCGTCTGTCATATACAGAAAAATACACGTTTAGAACAAATAATTGAGCACATGGTGCAAGAATGACCGCTATTAATTGATTATTGAATGTTATGATGGACACAGCTTTGTAGAACCAAAACATACACAGCCCTCTGCTCAACAAACTCGGAACTCGAGAACGAATCGTTTCAGGTCTGCAGTTTGTGAATGACCGTGCTTACCACCTTGACTGGCGACCCAGACTACTTCCTCCGGCCAAACGCTACGCCACGGACGTTCGTTTTTTCTCCGCAATGGAAGAGTCGTCAGGCATTATGCCAAGAGTCGTTCACAATCTAGACCGGTTGCAGCCACAACTACACCTCGTTTCAAATGTATCAAGAAATAATCTTAAATTATATGCCTAGCAATCGACAAATGTACATTGTTTAAAGCATGTTTACAAGTCTCAGTCACAAATGACAGCTCCAATAAGCCCCCTATGGTGAATGACATGTGAATTAGAGGCTCGTAGAATCATGTGTCTTTTGAGTTTTCAGTTCATCGTTCGCCGGTAGGGGTTCCTGCTCTGGGAATTACTAACTCAAATGAAAGGTTTTTTTGACTGAACTCGAAAAGATCCAAATCGGTTAAAAGAGCCAAACTTCCCATCACTAGAAATAACATATTATTTCCCCTCTCAGAGCGTTTATAAAACCTCCCAATAATGTTTTGAAGGAACCAGAGTAAAACATTCTCAGAACCTCCCTGCTACGTCAAAATAGCCATTCCCAGAACAGGCTAATTTCTTTGTTTGTTTCATCGGTCAGGAAACATATGGCTTCATTCCCACAACCAATATGAAACCAAAAACATACGTTCCCACAACTTCCAAGGAACCCAATGTGCTAGCTGGGTGCTGTGTCTGGAACAGGTTCTCCTCCTACCTCTCCAATAAGATAATCCTTAATAAAAAAAATATTAAAATATAAAATAATATAATATTTGTATAAAATAAAAAATAATCTGCTCACTATTGGAGAGTCCAGATCGGAGGACACTGCAGTCACACAGGGGTCAGTGCACAGGGGTCAGTGCTGGGGCCTACACTGTTTTTCATTTACATCTACTTCCATTGCTACACTCACGATAACCCAGGTTTACACATTAAGACCAAACCGGACACCGTCTCTGCAAAACTCAGCAGCTGCCCAGAGGACATCGGGGTATGGATGAAAGAGAACTTCCTCCAGTTGAACAGCAGCAAGACCGAGGCTGTGCTTATTGGGACACCCAAGCAGGTCACCAGTACAGGAAACATCTGCCCTATAATCAACGGACAGGCAAATCCATCTGTCATCTCCAACCTGGGAGTCAACTTTGATCATTCTCTGTCCTTCGATGTTCAAATCAAAACAAATACACTACATATACAAAAGTATGTGGACACCCTTTCAAATTAGTGGATTCGGCCATTTCAGCCACACCCGTTATCTTTCAGTATCTTTCAACGTGACACCGTTATAGGAAGCCACCTTTCCAACAAGTCAGTTTGTCACATTTCTGCCCTGCTAGAGCTGCCCCCGGTCAACTGTAAGTGCTGTTATTGTGAAGTGGAAACGTCTAGGAGCAACAGGGTCCAGACCAGGACCAAGAAGTCAGATCACCCCAATCCTGCCCAAACTCCACTGGCTAGCGGTCAACTACAGGATTGACTTCAAAAATCCACCTGCTTGTATTTAAAGCCTTGAATGGATTGAACCCCACCTACATCAGCAACCTCATCTCACCCAGCGAGACACCTCGCACTCTCCGCTCAAGCCACTCCCTACTGCTTCAAGTCCCCGAGACATGTCTCCGAACTATGGCCTTCTGCTCCCTTGCCCCTCGCCTATGGAAATCATCTGAGAGCAATTCTATCACTTTGAACTTTAAAAATGGGCCTTAAAACCCACTTCTACAGACTCTCTTTCTTATAGTCCTAATGGATTTAGCACCTAGCCCATTATTGCTATTTTACCTGCCTTGATTCTAAATGTATTCCGATTTTTTAAAATGGATTTTATGTATTAACTCTATGATGAAAAGCGCTATACAAATGATATGTGTTATTATTATTATTTGCAATACACATTCGCATTGCACACTGGGTGATACTAGGGTTATATACGGTATTACCAGCAATACTAAAATACTAAAATAAATTAAATCATTCTGTATTTAATTTTCAATTAATTTGCCAAAATGTCTAAAAAGAGGCGCTATTTCTTTCCAAACTTAATTATTTTGGGGGGTTTTTTTACGCACAAAACAATTTAGGCAGCAGGGATCTTGATCCAGGAGGGGGTTGATGGTCTCTGCTGTAACCAAGAAGCTTGATTTTGCAAGCTAGCGACTTAGCTAGCAAGTTAGCATACCAAATGCATAGCTGGAGCCCTGAGCTGGAGATGATTTATTTGGTACATCTTCGATAGTTAACTTAATAGTTATAGCAGAGTGGCGTAGCAACCACACACACACAGACACACAGACACACAGACACACAGACACACACACACACACACACACACACACACAAAATCATTTTTAACAGTATCGAAAATCATACCGTCGGTATTTCTAAATACCCTGGTATACGGTATAATCGCCCAAGCCTAGGCGATCCACACAGAAACACGCTCAGTTCAGTAACACACACACACAGAAAATCATTTTTAACAGTATCGAAAATCATACCGTCGGTATTTCTAAATACCCTGGTATACGGTATATCGCCCAAGCCTAGGCGATCCACACAGAAACACACACACACACACAGAAAATCATTTTTAACAGTATCGAAAATCATACCGTCGGTATTTCTAAATACCCTGGTATACGGTATAATCGCCCAAGCCTAGGCGATCCACACAGAAACATGCTCAGTTCAGTAACACACACACACACACACACACACACACACACACACACACACACACACACACAGCTGTCCAGTACTACCCACCTGTCCGGAGGATGCTAGCAGGTTGATGGTGGTCAGCAGCATCCAGCCACGTGACGCCTCCTCGCTCTGGTTCACCTCCAGGAACTGGACTATGGCTCGACTGGCTGCCTCTGTGGACAGAACACACACACACATCATCAGTATATAAATGTACATATTACATTACAGTACAATACAACAGGAACTGGACTATGGCTCTACTGGCTGCCTCTGTGGACAGAACACACACGTTGGTCATAGAGAATGAGTCATTCTAAATAAAGAATGTGTAATGTCATTCCAGAAGGCTTAGAGCAGGTGGCATAGAGAGAGAGAGAAAATTCCTTACATTTGTCTGTCTGTGTGTGTGTGTGTGTGTGTGTGTGTGTGTGTGTGTGTGTGTGTGTGTGTGTGTGTGTGTGTGTGTGTGTGTGTGCGCGTGTGTGTCTAGCGGTTTTAGATCTTCTCTAGAGCTGCCATGCCGTTGGTCGGTAGTCAAAGGAAGGCAAACCTCCGTCAAAGTTTTGAATAACGACAGACTGATAACACACATACCCCTGCAGAGAGAACTGACGAACGCAGAGGAAACACTAGCAGGAGGTTTTAAAAGCCTTTGGCTGGGGCCAACATCAAATAGTGATGAATCATGAATGAACAGCTTCCCATTCTGTTTTCATACAGGGGATTCACGAATGAACAGCTTCCCATTCTGTTTTCATACAGGGGAATCACGAATGAACAGCTTCCCATTCTGTTTTCATACAGGAGAATCACGAATGAACAGCTTCCCATTCTGTTTTCATACAGGGGATTCACATCATTTGACCCTAATCAAAATCCCTTTGACTTGACTAATTTCCCTGAGGATAAGGGGAATGGCATACTGACAATAGTAAAGAGCAAAACAATAAGGCAGAGAAGGGAAGCAGAAAGGATTAAAATGTATATTCCTGCACAGGCAAGAACCATAACTAAAATACAGGAAGGGGATCACTATTAAAATACAAGGGTTACATGGTTATTGTTGTGGGAGGAACCAGCACAAAGGATTATGGGGAAATCACATGGGGTAACGGTGACCTTAAGATAATAAAAGAAAAAGACAGATGGGATCATAGACATAAGAATAACAGCCCAGGACTTAGATAAACAATTGGATGTAGTACTTATAAAAGTGGTTAAGTATAAGGTTGTTGAAGTAGTTATTCCTTGGGAAAGTGCATTAAACCCTTTTACATGTTAGAGCCATACCAAATGCAGAAGAAAGGGAATGGAAGGAAGCCGTTAAACAATTATTGGTATAGATGAGTACAATATATTACATTACAAGTAAATAAAGAAAATAGCATAATATGCACCACATCTCCGTTTAAAGAATTAACAGTAGTTCAAAATCTTCACCGTTACCAGGACTGTGTGCTAGGATTCAATCACAACTTTTGTAATATTTAGGGAATTCTAACTATAAACAATTTTATGATCAACCAGGATGGGGAGAGAAGTGTAAGCAATTGTTAGAATAGGAACAAGGAAAAGGGGAAACGCCAGAGTAATATCAAAAAGATTATGAGGAAATATAGGAATGTTACAATAAAACAATTGGGTTATATAATTTGGGAGAATTGAAGGGAGAATGTGAAACTAGGGGGCGTTTAAACAGATAGCCTTTGGAATACAGAGGCCCCTCAAAGAAAAATCTCTCAGGCAGCAGGATCAAGTATTACAAATGGGTATTAAGAATGAGTGGTGAAACATAATGATTTGTCATATAGTCAATGTTAATAGGGATGTTTTGGATTGGAAATTAACGCAACTGAACTGTTGTGATCTGTCCTTTCCCGAGGTTACTACGGATGGTGTCGTAATGCATAAGCAGAGATAATTCGGTCCAGAACGGTGTAAACCTCAATTAAAAACCAAAAACCCTCTACCCGGCTGAAGAGGAGCAACAAAGGCGTTGAAGACGTTCCTGTCCGACACCACCTCTTGCCAGGAGACCTGAATCCAGCATCAAATCAAAGCAATCAATTTGCCTTCTCTTTTGTGCCTTTTCTCTCAAGAATGTGACAGGAGTCCATGTGGAGTGAGCAGGAGGAAAGCTGTGAAGAGCTGAAGCATTAGATCAGAAGCTGTGAAGAGCTGAAGCATTAGATCAGAAGCTGTGAAGAGCTGAAGCATTAGATCAGAAGCTGTGAAGAGCTGAAGCATTAGATCAGAAGCTGTGAAGAGCTGAAGCATTAGATCAGAAGCTGTGAAGAGCTGAAGCATTAGATCAGAAGCTGTGAAGAGCTGAAGCATTAGATCAGAAGCTTTGATTAAGAGCTGCTTTGCTCAGACAAACCTGACGTGATCTAAATTGAGTAGAGTTTAACCACCCACAGTATGTTTAATTAGTATGGGGTGGCAGCTTAGCAACAGCCCTGGCGATGGACTGTAGCAGGCAAAAACGTTGCAGCAAAGTTGACTGAAGACTGACACAAGAAATAGGCCAAAATAGAGCTTTTAGGGGAACAGTGAGACACGTGTAGCCTCCCTTGGGAAAGAGTTCTTCTGACCTCAATGGGACGATCTGGTTCAATAAATCAACTGACCTCAATGGGACGATCTGGTTCAATAAATCAACTGACCTCAATGGGACGATCTGGTTCAATAAATCAACTGACCTCAATGGGACGATCTGGTTCAATAAATCAACTGACCTCAATGGGACGATCTGGTTCAATAAATCAACTGACCTCAATGGGACGATCTGGTTCAATAAATCAACTGACCTCAATGGGACGATCTGGTTCAATAAATCAACTGACCTCAATGGGACGATCTGGTTCAATAAATCAACTGACCTCAATGGGACGATCTGGTTCAATAAACCAACATACCTGTGGACTTGTTGGAGGCCCTCCGTCTGATCTCAGTGACCATGAGCCGGGACACCTGGGTAGTGAACTGGAGGAGGTCCTGGAACTTCTCCGTCATGGTGCTGGGCGGAGCATTACCAAACACCTGCAAAGGTCAAAGATGAACAGTTACACAATGACACACACACACACACAAAGGCCCACCTAAATGTTTTACATTCTAGTCATTTAGCAGACGCTCTTATCCAGAGAGACTTATAGTTAGTGCATTCTTCTTAAGGTAGCTAGGTGGGACAACCACACAGCACAGTCATAAGCTAGGGTCCCATCCAATTGGCGACAGATTTTCATGCAAATATTCTAAAATCCGCATAAAGGAAATATACTTCATGTGGATCTCTGAGTATTTTTTACATCATCAAGTTTAACACATGAATTTAACCTTCACAGAGATCTTTTGAGCGAGATGCAAGCCAAACCACCAAGCACTGATAGATGAGTTTGACTCTAATCCTGTTGAAGACAGGCAGCATCATGTAGAGCTTGTCCTCCAACCAACCAACCAACCCACCAACCAACCCACCAACCAACCAACCAACCCACCAACCCACCCACCCACCAACCAACCAACCCACCAACCCACCCACCCACCATAACCACTACTCACCCTGTTGAAGACAGGCAGCATCATGTAGAGCTTGTCCTCCAACCAACCAACCAACCAACCAACCAACCACCCAACCCACCCACCCACCCACCAACCAACCAACCCACCCACCCACCCACCCACCCACCCACCCACCCACCCACCCACCATAACCACTACTCACCCTGTTGAAGACAGGCAGCATCATGTAGAGCTTGTCCTCCAACCAACCAACCAACCAACCAACCAACCACCCAACCCACCCACCCACCAACCAACCAACCAACCAACCCACCAACCAACCAACCCACCCACCCACCCACCCACCCACCCACCCACCCACCCACCAACCAACCCACCAACCCACCCACCAACCAACCCACCCACCCACCCACCCACCCACCCACCCACCCACCCACCATAACCACTACTCACCCTGTTGAAGACAGGCAGCATCATGTAGAGTTTTTCCTCCTGCTCCTTCTGGGTCATTTGACGTGGCGGGTGGCAGAGCTCGGAGAAGAGGCGTCGGAGGTGCATGAGGCCCAGTGCGTTGTCCTGCGGGCTACACTCCTCCTGCCGCGGCCTACCCATGATCCTCTTCACCATGTTCATCTTGAGCGGCTTCGTCCGGCCAACGCCAGCCCTGAGAGGAGGGGGAGAATGACTTAATTTCTATTTCATTTTACTGTACCTTACCAGGAAGTGCTTTGAACTTCTCTTTTTGATCTATTGAATTAAAATGTATTGTTCACTTGTAGAATGGCATCAGTAGCAACTGGCAACAGATAAGCTGGTCAGCAGTCTAAAATCCATGGTCCCCTTAACCAACTCAAATATAGAGGGTGGAGAGAGGAGTGAAGAGACAGAATCGAAGGATGAAAAGATAGAAAGTCTAGAGATAAAAAAAGACAGATGGGACGGTGGAAGATGGAGGGGAGAGGCAGTATGAGAAGAGAGGCAGTAAGAGAAGAGAGGCAGTAAGAGAAGAGAGGCAGTAAGAGGAGAGAGGCAGTATGAGAAGAGAGGCAGTAAGAGGAGAGAGGCAGTAAGAGAAGAGAGGCAGTAAGAGGAGAGAGGCAGTAAGAGGAGAGAGGCAGTATGAGGGGAGAGGCAGTAAGAGAAGAGAGGCAGTAAGAGGAGAGAGGCAGTATGAGGGGAGAGGCAGTAAGAGGAGAGAGGCAGTATGAGGAGAGAGGCAGTATGAGGAGAGAGGCAGTATGAGGAGAGAGGCAGTAAGAGGAGAGAGGCAGTAAGAGGGGAGAGGCAGTAAGAGAAGAGAGGCAGTAAGAGGGGAGAGGCAGTAGAGAGGCATAAGAGAGAGGCAGTAAGAGAAGAGAGAGCAGTAAAGAGAGAGAGAGAGCAGTAAGAGAAGAGAGGCAGTAAGAGGAGAGAGGCAGTATGAGGGGAAGGCAGTAAGAGGAGAGAGGCAGTAAGAGAGGAGAGTAGGAGAGAGGCAGTAAAGGTAGAGGAGAGCAGTAGGCAGAGTAAGTAGAGAGAGAGGCAGTAAGAGAGAGAGGCAGTAAGAGAAGAGAGGCAGTAAGAGGAGAGAGGCAGTAAGAGAAGAGAGGCAGTAAGAGGAGAGAGGCAGTAAGAGAAGAGAGGCAGTAAGAGAGGAGAGGCAGTATGAGGAGAGAGGCAGTATGAGGGAGCAGAAGAGAGAGAGCTAAGAGGAGAGAGGCAGGAAGGTAAGAGGAGAGAGGCAGTAAGAGAGAGAGAGGAAAGTAGTAAGAGAGAGAGTGAGGCGAGAGGCAGTATGAGGAGAGAGGCAGTAGAGAGAGGAGAGGCAGTAGAGGAGAGAGGCAGTAAGAGAAGAGAGAAAGAGAGAGAGCAGTAAGAGAGGAGAGGCAGTATGAGAAGAGAGGCGAGGCAGTAGAGAGGCAGTAAGAGAAGAGAGGCAGTATGAGAAGAGAGGCAGTAAGAGAAGAGAGGCAGTAAGAGGGTGGAGAGGCAGTAAGAGAAGAGAGGCAGTATGAGAAGAGAGGCAGTATGAGAAGAGAGGCAGTATGAGGGGAGAGGCAGTATGAGGGGAGAGGCAGTATGAGGGGAGAGGCAGTAAGAGGAGAGAGGCAGTATGAGAGTGGTGCACTGTGGAATAAAGAAGAGACACGTCCATTTTGGTTGCCAGGTAATTCAGGCTACTAAATGCCTTTTTAAGGCCCTTTATTATTAAAAATGTTGCCATGGCAAAATGTGTAGAATTGCAGGAAATGAACTCCAAAACTTGCTTTGCTTGCAAGGTGGGGGGGGGGGCGTCTCCCAACAAAAACTGACTTAGGGCCCCCAAAAGGCTATGGCCGGCTCTGACTGCACGTCCTGGTATGGATGTGGTTATGCAGACCCCTGAGTCACAGCGGCCCCTCATGATGAGTTCAGACCTGCGAGTCACTGTGGCCCCTCATGATGAGTTCAGACCCCCGAGTCACTGTGGCCCCTCATGATGAGTTCAGACCCCCGAGTCACTGTGGCCCCTCATGATGAGTTCAGACCCCCGAGTCACTGTGGCCCCTCATGATGAGTTCAGACCCCCGAGTCACTGCGGCCCCTCATGATGAGTTCAGACCCCTGAGTCACTGCGGCCCCTCATGATGAGTTCAGACCCCCGAGTCACTGCGGCCCCTCATGATGAGTTCAGACCCCTGAGTCACTGTGGCCCCTCATGATGAGTTCAGACCTGCGAGTCACTGTGGCCCCTCATGATGAGTTCAGACCTGCGAGTCACTGCAGCCCCTCATGATGAGTTCAGACCTGCGAGTCACTGCGGCCCCTCATGATGAGTTCAGACCTGCGAGTCACTGCGGCCCCTCATGATGAGTTCAGACCTGCGAGTCACAGCGGCCCCTCATGATGAGTTCAGACCCCTGAGTCACTGTGGCCCCTCATGATGAGTTCAGACCTGCAAGCGACTGCGGCCCCTCATGATGAGTTCAGTTTTTTTGTGGCCCCCACCCCCATCAATGTTGCCCATCCCTGATTTGGTTGTTTACTGTGGCTACACTGTATAATACACAGTAGGATAGAGACAGACATATATCCATTATTGTTGCTATGAGGAAATGTACTAAGCTAAATGCTTGCAAAAAAATACTGGCAATGAAACTTCTAGGCCTAAACCATGAGAGGGTAAGTATTGGGGCATTCTGTGCGAACTTGGCCCAAAAATTATTATGACAATTTCCTCAAATGAAATTAGGGCTGGGAATTGCCAGGGACCTCACAATACGATATTATCACGATACTTTGGTGCCGATACGATATGTATTGTGATACGATATGTATTGTGATTCTATATGCATTGTGATTCTATATGTATTGTGATTCTATATGCATTGTGATACTATATGTATTGTGATTCTATATGTATTGTGATACGATATGCATTGTGATACGATATGCATTGTGATACTATATGCATTGTGATACTATATGTATTGTGATACGATATGCATTGTGATACTATATGCATTGTGATACTATATGTATTGTGATACTATATGTATTGTGATACTATATGTATTGTGATACTATATGTATTGTGATACTATATGCATTGTGATACGATATGCATTGTGATACTATATGCATTGTGATACTATATGTATTGTGATACTATATGTATTGTGATACTATATGTATTGTGATACTATATGTATTGTGATACTATATGTATTGTGATACGATATGCATTGTGATACTATATGTATTGTGATACTATATGTATTGTGATACGATATGCATTGTGATACTATATGCATTGTGATACTATATGTATTGTGATACTATATGTATTGTGATACTATATGTATTGTGATACTATATGTATTGTGATACTATATGCATTGTGATACTATATGCATTGTGATACGATATGCATTGTGATACTATATGCATTGTGATACTATATGCATTGTGATACGATATGCATTGTGATACGATATGCATTGTGATACTATATGTATTGTGATACTATATGTATTGTGATACGATATGCATTGTGATACGATATGCATTGTGATACTATATGCATTGTGATACTATATGTATTGTGATACTATATGTATTGTGATACTATATGTATTGTGATACTATATGTATTGTGATACTATATGTATTGTGATACTATATGCATTGTGATTCGATACTGTGATTTTATTGCGCTTCAATGTTCGAAACATATTAAAATCACAATATATCTGCTGCAGCAGGACAAGAGAGAGCCATGAGAAAACACGTTTTGATCAGTCATGGAAATAAAAGTGCTGCAAACAAATTGGCTCCCCATTTAAAAAGAAGATGGAGGAAAAACTGTTTTGGTGCAGTTATAATCGACTAGCGCAAAAATAATATTGCGAAATTTTCAAGACGATACATAATAATATCCTGATTTGTAACTATCGATTTTTTACATCATCACTTAATGAAATATACACTAAACAAAAATATAACTGCAACACGTAAAGTGTTGGTCATGTTTCATGAGCTGAAATAAAAGCTCACACAAATGTTCCATATGCAAAAAAGCTTATTTCTCTCAAATTGTGTGCACAAATCTGTTTACATCCCTGTTAGTGAGTATTTCTCCTTTGCCAAGATAATCCATCCACCTGACAGGTGTGGCATATCAAGAAGCTGATGAAACAGCATGATCATTACACAGGTGCACCTTGTGCTGGGGACAACAAAAGGCCACTCTAAAATGTGCAGTTTTGTCACACAACACAATGCCACATATGTCTCAAGTTTTGAGGGAGTGTGCAATTGGCTGGCTGACTTCAGGAATGTCATTCAGAGCTGTTGACAGAGATTTTAATGTTCATTTCTCTATCATAAGCCGCCTCCAACGTCGCAGACCATGTGTAACCAAGTCAGCCCAGGACCTCCACATCCGTCTTCTTCACCTGCGGAACAGTCTGAGACCAGCCACCTGGACAGCTGATGAAACTGTGGGTTTGCACAACCGAATAATTTCTGCACAAACTGTCAGAAACCGTCTCAAGAAGACCATCTGCGTGCTCGTCGTCCTCACCAGGGTGACTGCAGTTCGGCGTCATAACCGACTTCAGTGGGAAAATACTCACCATCTATGGCTGGAGAAGTGTGCTCTTCACGGATGAATCCCGGTTTCAACTGTACCAGTCAGAAGGCAGACAGCATGTATAGCGTTGTGTGGAAGAGCGGTTTGCTGATGTCAACGTTGTGAACAGAGTGCCCCATGGTGGTGGTGGGGTTATGGTATGGGCAGGCATAAGCTACGGACAACGAACATAACTGCATTTTATCGATGTCAATTTGAATGCACAGAGACACCGTGACGAGATCCTGAAGCCCATTGTCGTGCCATTCATCCGCCGCCATCACGTCATGTTTCAGAATGGTAATGCACGGCCCCATGTCGCAAGGATCTGTACACACTTCCTGGAAGCTGAAAATGTCCCAGTTCTTCCATGGCCTGCATACTCAGACGTGTCACCCATTGAGCATGTTTGGGATGCTCTGGAATGATGAGTACGACAGCATGTTCCAGTTCCCGCCAATATCCAGCAACTTCATACAGCCATTGAAGAGAAGTGGGACAACATTCCACAGGCCACAATCAACAGCCTGATCAACTCTATGCGAAGGAGATGTCGCGCTGCATGAAGCAAA